TTTGATAAATAAATGTTCACTACTTGATATCTCAGTTTTCAAATAATTATAGGCCACATATCTTCAAACCTATTATTCTTAGTACACATTGTTAAATAACTTTAATAACTTATAAACTACTTTTTTAAATTTCGATTTTGATATATCAATATTTTCAAAAAAAGTCATTTGATTAACAATTTACAGCAGAAATGGGTAATTCCCATTTGGAAAAAAAAATTGTTGGTATTGTCACAAGACACACTTTCAATGGTATATATTGTATAAAATCTAAGTATTTAAAAATATGATCTTTGAATAAAATAAAAAATTTCAAAAATCAGAATTTGAGTCAATTCATAACAAATAAAAAACTGTTGGTGAATCACTCTGTATAATATGTTAGTTATAAAAAATAATATAATTAAATAAGAAATAGACCACTAAAAGTAAGCAAATGCTTTTAATAATATTGCAGCTTATTATATTATTACTTTTCAAACAATTCGAACACACATTCGTGCACACGTTATTAATTAAGTAAAAAACTCTGTACTTAGCAATTATACTAAAGTCTGTCAAAAATTGATTTTATCGTTTTTAAAACACACGCTGTATATTACACTATATTAATAATACAGAAGATTCATGTGTATTGATATATCTCCGTGTTCTACTGTTACATAATAATTCAGTCTACAGTTTAAACTTTAATATTGAAAATTGAAATGCATATTTGAATATTATAATAATATGGTCTTGTGATAAATAAATTAACAGATAATATAATGGTAGGTTGGTGTATAATATTATAATATACATTTTTTGTTCAATTTTTTTTGTACACGTTCTGTTAATCTTCTTATTACTATCATTATTATCATTATTTTTTTTTATAATATTACTATTAATTTTTTTCTTACACCTTATTATACAGATTAATGAGTAATAACTACATAAATATATTTATTTGATTAATAGATAACTGAGTGGTTATAACATGATTTTTTAATTTAATTTTCAAATTGCTGAAGTGCCTTTCATAGAAGATCTTTATAGGCTTCACTAATCCACTAGAAATCAACGATCACATCGTACAACACTCACAATATTTCTAAACATATATGTAATTTATAATAACTTTTATATTGTCTAAGAAAAAAAAAGTTCCAAATCTCACATTAAGACTTGTCTAGTTTAATAATATGTCTTCATTATAATATAATGATTCAATATAGGAATTTAATTTCGCATTAATTAATAACCTGTACTTTTTTACAGTCCAGTTGTTCTCAACTTATTTGAATTGAAATCTGTAAACAATTAGTGCAGTGTTTTAGATAAGTAGTTCTTACGTCATTCTTTAATAATAGTTCGATTTTTTTCATATGCATATAAAAATCCTAAAGAAAAATTTGATCATTTGTCAAAACAAACTAAATTGTAATACTACAATATGTATATATTGATCGGTGTTTAAAATTGATGTACTCATATTTAAACTTTACAGTTGTTTCATTTACTGTAGTAAAGATGAGTATTTTTATTTTTTGATAACTGTTTATTATTGAATAATATAAACCGATTACCGTCGAACATTAACTATCTACGTATTTTGTAAGAAATTGATTAAATAATAAGGAGTTATGTTATTTTGATTGCATCATTTTCGCCTTAAAAATAATAATTTAAATTGATATCTTCAAAAAATATTTTGATGATCAAAGAATATTATTAAAAACCTATAGTTCTAAAATATCTATTTCGACATCTTCGTCGTTAATGCAGCAATTATTTTAATTTAAATGTTTTCCATTCCATAATATTTACAAAACATACATAATAATATATTTTACATATACGTCTTACTACTCTCTATTATAATAGACTATGCCTTTTCATTGACCTACATGTTTATGACCAACATTGTAATAGTTATACTAATAATTACGCGTGGTGCACTAAAATAATATTTTAACAAATTCCACTAGTCCTTGGTGAGGAAAATCAATTTTTTTTATTCAAATACCGTATAATATAAACTGCGAGTTTCGTCTGTTTGAAAGTGCTTTTGTACGTACACTGCAGTGTATTGATTGACCAACGAAATAGGTAATAAAAATAAGAATCCTAATAAAGCATTTTAATGTATTGTTAGAATTGCCAAACATTTATATTTTGGCTGTATTTTTTTTTTTATGAACTGCAGTGTACATTTTTTCCAACCATGTTGTTTACTTTCACTCAGAAAATGTATTCGCAATAAATATTAAATACTTCGAGTACATAAATAAAATATAATAATATTATTCTGTAAACATTAAATTTATATACCTAACCTAACCTAACGGTCGAGATAATATAGCTTTAAGCATCACGCATTATGATGGGTTTAACCTTACTACTTAACTTAAACTGCTATCTGCAGTAGCATCCGACACTGTTATCTTCGAGAAGTTTTCGAATAGCTATACTGTATTAAGCAGTATTTAGTATTTACCCACATTGCAGTATGCCATTTTTGAGATTTTAAATCTAATGCATATATTGCATTTGATGGGTATGCTTTTTATATAGCATTTAATTCATCTGATAATGAGTTACAATAATATAGATTGTGCTGTCCTTATAATATGCAGATTGCAGATGTACGCATGCATAATTATGTACCTAGGTAGGTACATAAATAATTGTATTTACAATTCAAACGACGTAGAATAATTAATGATTGTACGTATATACGCGTGGACGAGAGTATCAATAATTAGTATCTCATGTTTAGATAACAATAATTGTTCAGATTATTTTATATTAATTAATAATTACTATATTCTGGTTTTTATTTACATTTTCAATCGTTCCAGAATATTCGAAAAGAGAACATCACTTAATATTAAGTAACTCTCTAATAATATCTATTAGGTACTGACTATATTTAGTTCAGCGAAATCTTAATAACTAGTCTCATGGAAATGTAGCTAATAATTATTCACCAAAATACCATATAATATTTCAAATTATTATATTATTACATTTTTTTAAATATGGAAAAAACAGCAAGTATACTTGCGTGTATTACAATTTTTTTCATAGCGATTACAATTTTCAAGTGTTGAGAATATTTATATTTTTTTAAATAACATGGAAAATTAACAATTCAAAAAATAAATTAATATTAATGTGGTAATCAAATGCAGTTTCAAAGTGTTCAAACACGATAACCTGATATACATTTAAACCAAATTGAATTGAGTATAAAAAAAAAATACCGTCATCGTGAATAATCTTATTATTTTAATATGCAGAATTTATGGTCAAGACGAAGGTTAATACTTCAAAAACTTTTAATTCTATTATGAATATTTAAGTATAATTATGATAATCATGATTTGATTATATATTTGATGTACAATGATTCATGCACATACCGCTCATTAGTAGTTAAAACAGAAAAAAAGGGAAAAACAATAAGCCTAGATACGGGTATAGTACCTACTACCTATATACTTAAAATTATTATATTCGATCTATGGAATGCTTATTTCGTTACTTTATTTCTTTTTTATAATCCAATTACCTTTTTTTTCTCTTAAAAGTGTAACATATTATATAGGTACGACCTATATGTTTGGGTATTATGTTTGAATTGATTTATACACTATATTACATTCAATCCGGTGGACTGTTCATAAGTGATTCTGAGTGAGAAACAACTTTTATTTGATGCGAACTCCCCGGAAGTTGGGTCGCCTACATGACACAGTGTAAACGAAATCCAAACGAAATTGTAACTAAATTAAAAAAAAAATAAATAAATAAATACAAAATAAACGATAAAAGAAAATCTCATAATATACGTCTTTATAAATTAATCTTAAAATACAATGAAAAATGAATGCTATATTTAAAACAAGACTGTCTTGCTTAATTAAAGAAAAATGCTGGGATTTGCATAAATCTAATGAACTATTAGAAATATGAAATATATTTATGAATAATATTAAGCATGTCATGCATAGAAACGATTTCCAATAATTACGGCAGATTTTTTTATTCTTAAATCAAGCGGTTATTCGACCTTTGACTACCTATACTATCTACTATGAACATGGTTTACGCACAATGCTCAAATATTGTACATGTGTACGACAGGTTCTGACGACGAAATATCGAAACATGCGTCATTGGTATCGAAAATGCCACGTGTTTGAAGTTCTCCCTCAACCATTCCAAAATGTTTAAGATATATTATAGCCCACTAATCTCAAGTAACCGTAAGCTCATTTCCAGAATTCGTCACTCAGAGTTTTGAATTTTTTCGGATCGATTTTTCGCCGTGGCGGGGGGCTGTGCTCAACTCCAATCATTGCATTCCTGTCTGACGGCAGACATAAAACAGATCATATAACCCATCGATCCAGTCGGTAGATCACCGATATGACAGATGTAGTAACTCACTAGACATAATATGCTCAATTACATAATATATAGTTTATAAATTATGTGTATTATTATCGCTTCCGGAATTCACCGCCGCCGCGGCGTGCAATAATAGTATGGACGTGGGTGACTCATTCGTCTAAACACATCATTTGCGCGATTAAAAAACCTCAACAACAATAATAATATTACCATCGGTAGGCAGTGACGTCCCAATCGTATTATCGTGTTATTCGCTCAGATGTGTTGAGTATACAAAATGGGATGAGAAATCGAGCCGGTATAAGTACCTACTGCAGACGGACAGCAGTCATTGATTTAGTAACGCGGTCGGTTACGGAAGTCTGTCGTATACGATATAGAAGGTGTACATATTGCCGGACAATCGTTGTTTTCGATACTTACCTTTTTTTGGTTTTGTAGACGCGATTCCAGTTGATCGTTTTGTCATATTTTATTTTTTTTTATACCTCGCATACTTGGGGTGGTCGATTTCGCGAAAATTAACTTCGAAGTATACTTGTTCCCGCATCGAATGCCAGCAGTATGAAAAATATAAAAACTCCCATTTCCTTCCTCAGGTCGTCACTTGCGGTTAAGCAGTTATTCGTAAATCTACTGTTGGCGCCCACAATTATTACGTTGACGGCGAACACTCCAACGTCGTCCGCCATGAACTTGTTCGAAAACTACAGCTTGTCCACAGTGAGTATACCTATATTATACTCTACTATATAATTATGTACTTTTTTAAATACACCAAAAGCCAAAGTGTTTTTAACCTTTTTTGGTTTTATTCGACAACTGACAAGTAATATTGTGTGTACTGTCTCATATATTACTGCAGCTATAGAATAGCCATTTAAGACTTCAAACATTTCGAAATTGGTCAGTACCTATGTTTAAAACTAATTAACAAATTTTTCTCTGCAATGTTTGTTCTTAATTAATGTACAATTAAATTCCAATTTACTTGATTAAAACATTTAATCTAGGCGTGTATTATAGAATGATATACACTTGTAATGGCAAATATTCTTCATACAATACCTAACAAATAAACAACGACTTTAACCTTATTGCAGTTATAACTCACTAATAGTATTGATTGTTATAAAATCATTGTTAATAACAATAACAGGATACGGTCGTTCAATTGACAATATTATATCATACAACAATTATTACGGTTATATTAATCAAACAACTGTTTTAGATAAGATTTATTGGTCCATTATTATAACGATGTGCGCACTCTATTAAACGTTCTATAATCAAACACATTTTCAGTCATCGTATTATAATCGTATTTTATTTAAATTTAAAATAAAAATATGACTTCCGTTGTGGGACTGTGGGAGACTGAAAGAAAAAACGAAATTACAGTAAAAATAATCAAACAACTGTTTCAGATAAGATTTACATTTATTGGTCCATCATTATCGATGTGTGCACTTCATTAAACGTCCTATAATGGAGCACATTTTCTGTAATTATATAACAATATTTTATTTCAGTGTAAAATAAATAGATAGTACTTCGGTAGTGGAGAAATGAAAAAAACACAAATAAAATTCAATGTTTTCAAACCTTTGACATTAAGTTTTCCGATGAATGAATGGTCCTCTCAACATATCAAATATAACATTACCCTTACATCTATAAACTGCACCTTTATGAAGAAGCCGATTGACGGTTCTATAAAAGATTCCATAATCGCCAATTATCTCATTTAAATTCACTAATTCATAACCTCTTTACCAATTTCTGCAGGTAATCCTCGTATAGACTCCCGAAGCATAAATCGTGTTGTAATGATCGCCTACAATTATGAATTATCATTAATAAAAACACATAATAGAGTGTTATTTTTTTATCACTTTTCTTATTTTTTTTCTGTCATAATTTTTTGTACTCACTTCTATGCTTATTGTATCAATTCTATATAGATTGTATAGCATTTGTATGAAAAAATAATGATAAATAAGGATACGCTGACTATAATGAATATGATTATAATCCGTAAGGACAGTGAATTTTACAATTTTTTACATTTGTATAGGTATTTTAGTAATGATTATGTTAATAATAATAATATAAAATATCGTCTTTTGCGAACAAAAATTTGTATGGCATTTGAATTATAGGTGGAAATAATCCGAAACAATGGTTACGACGTCGAAGTCCACAATGTCATCACTGCCGACGGTTACATTTTGGAGTTGCATCGTATCCCCAGGAGTAAGCGAGGACAAGAACCCACCAGAAACCATCCGGTGTTCATCCACCACGGAATTCTGGGGACATCGGCCGATTGGGTGCTAGCAGGAGCCGACATGTCTCTACGTGAGTGTTGCTTATGTTCTTATAAGTGCATAAACAAAATATTTTATAATTTTAACAATTTTTTCATTCGAAATATTACATTTACAGCCATGCAACTCGCTGACGACGGTTACGACGTGTGGTTGGCCAACTGCCGCGGTAACACTTACAGTAGAAAACATATTTCGATGTCTTCCAAACAAAGAGCTTTTTGGAATTTCAGGTAAATTTATTGTTTTCATAATTTGTTTATATTATCATTTGATTTATCATGCATAATTTCATCCATCTGGTGATTCATTTAATGTAAAGCACTCATTGTTTAAAAAAACTATACAAACGTTTTTGAAAATATTTATTTTACATACGTAATTATTTAAATTGTTTCAAAACAACATTTTTGTAAAAATGTATGTTGATTACCATTTTCTAGAATAATAATTCTTAACTTTTAACTTTTTACGATTACCTATAACATACATTTCAAATTGTGTATATTCCAAAGCAGAATATATTTTTAAAGCAGAATAATATATATTATAATATATTATTATGTATACATTAAAGTACCCCAAAAAATATAATGCGTGTAAAATTTAAAAAAAGGAAATAAAAATATTATTTTTCAAACATTTTGATTTGTACTGACTTATAATTATTTAGATAAGAGAATCACAATGTATATTATGCATTGTAGGGTGTAGAATCAAAACCTTATAATCAACACATTTTATTTTTTACTCGAAACCTACTTATCTAAAATATTATATAAACTTAATTTTAGTTTTAATGTTTTCTGTTATCTTATTATATGGTTACAGCTTACACGAAGTCGGAAAATACGATTTACCAGCTTCTATCGATTATGTTCTTTCGATATCGAAAACTTCACAACTCCACTACGTAGGTTATTCTATGGGCAGTTGTGTGTTTTTCATTATGGCTTCAGAGAGACCCGAATATCAGCCTAAGATTCGATCGCAAATCAGTCTTGCACCAGTAGCTTTCTTGTCAAACACCAGATCGTCTCTAAGATTTATGGCACCGTATGCAAAAATGTTGAACGTAAGTACTGTGTATACATTATACATATTTACGTATAACACCCGACGATTATTTCTTAAAATATAAACTATTAAAATGTAAAAATCTTAGTGGGAATTAGCTTTATTAATTATTCTAAGGAAGTTTTTTTTGTTGACCACAGGTTTTTAAATAAAAAAAACATTTTAAGGCCGCGATGTCTAAAGAAAGATTAACTAGTCACCAACTAAAAATCAATAATGTTTATAAATTACTTGTATAAGCAGATATTAAAGAAAGGATTTCGGTATATTTTACTAATGCTCGGGAGCAGAAATATATTTTCGAGAATTTGAAATTAAATTCATTTGAATATAATAATTTAAATCGTATTATCATTGTTAGTTTTCTGGAGTATAGTACAGCTGTCTTTCTGGGATTCGTTGACTGTTGCAGGTAAGTGTCTCCTGGAGCAAGGTCCAGAGAAATTCCATCAAGTTCTGTACTTTTATTCCGAAAACTGATTTTTTTCATAGTGATTAATCTTCTGTTTTTCGTGTTCTCAAAACTTCTTAAAGTATTTAGTAGATCGAGCTGTCGGTCACCGATACTTATAACCTAGTCCAAATTTTAATCGATTCTGATATATTCGATGCTCCAGTTAATCGGAAATCGAAGGATTTCGTACTTGTTATCCAAACGGTACAATTATAGTAACATTATTATTGTATATTGATAAAATGACGTGTTCTGTTGTGTAACATAGATCGTGTATCAAAGGATGTGGAAAGGCATGTTTATGCCGCAATCGAGTATGCAAAAGTTTTTGGCGTCTACCATATGTAGAGAAAAAATAACTCAGAAAATGATTTGCGAAAAATGCATCATATTCTCCGTGTGCGGCAGCGACCCGTACCACTTCGACACTGTAATTATTATGATATTTTTATGATTTCATCAGTACACAACGCTCTAGACAATTGTCGAGAAATCGGTTACGAGTAGTTAATAACGCAATCCGCTGTACTTATATTTTTTTCTTTGTACATTTCAGAAATTGATTCCCCAGATCATGGGACATTTTCCGGCAGGAACTTCGGCCAATCTCGCCGCGCACTTTGCTCAGTTCATATTGAAAGGTATATACTTGCAACAACCATCGACCGTGGTGCGCGTGAAATGTTCGAAGATTTTAATCCGTTTCGTTTGTTCACAGACACTTTCGGTCAGTACGATTACGGTCGGGCCATGAACTTGCGTCAATACAATTCCACCGAGCCGCCCACGTACGATTTGAAATCGATCCGAGTGCCCATCACGCTGATCTACGGCGAAAATGACATACTTGCCGACACGATAGTGAGCTTCGATACTTTTATTTTTTCTCTTATCAGTATATTCAAACGTACTTTGTATTTTTCGCGCAGGACGTGATGAAGCTTAAAGCCCAACTTCCCATGGTCGTGGACTCATTTCCGGCGAAAAGCCCTTACTTCAACCACGTAGACTTCTTGTGGAGCACAAATGTCACCGAACAGATCAACGACCCGGTCAAGGAAATACTGCAGAAGACCGACCGCCTGGGCTGGACGTACACGGGCACCGCGGCCACCGCCATCTCGTCCGCCGTGGCCGTGAACGCCGTCGATCTGCCGCAGATCCAGATGCTACAGCTGAACCCGCTGTCGGGTGCCGTCAACCTGGCGCCCAGCCTGGAGTTCTTCGCCGAGAACCTGGACGCGATCATCGCGAGCACCATGCCGCGGCCGGTGGACGAGCACGACGCGGCCGTGTTCGAACGGGAACGGGAACAGCAGCGGCTGCTGTTCGGCGGCGTCATCAAGTTCGCGCAGGCGGCCGAGAAGAAGTACGGACACATCCGGCAGGAGATCACTAACGAGATCGCCGGCTGGGCCGACGACGCGGCCACCGGCGCCGAGTCGCGCGTCAAGCAGACTGCCGTCCTAGTGAACGGCAAGATCGCGTTCGCCGGGCACTCGGTGGCCGGGGCCGTGGGCAAAGCCGAGCACTTCGTGGCCGGCGGCGTAGGCAAAGCCGAACAGACCGTGGCCGTCGGCATCGGCAAGGCCCATAACTACTTCAACTACGGTCTGAACAAGGCCGATTGGGCCGTGAACGCCACCGTGGGCCGCGTCGGCAGGGTGTTTTGGTTCTGGAAGTGATGCGTCGATAACCAAGTCTAGAAATATTATTATGTAGTTGGTATGGCCACGCGCTCATCTATATACGCACTCGGACGTTTGCCGGGATACAGCCGATACAGCTGCAGTTAGTAGTTATAGTTATCTATATATATTATTATCGTGATTCCAATATTATTAGTTACGCTATCGCTTACCTAAGCCTCGTACGATTTATCGGTTTATCGTTTGAGTCATTTTATTTTTTATAAACAGAACCTATACACTTTTACTTATGTGTTTGAAATGTGTTTTTATGTAATTTTTTTTTATCCTTCGTGTAATGTTACTCGAGACGTTTTATAGTATAGTGTGAGTTATCTAATCATTTTTATTATTTTATTGTCACGAAATCGAATTTTTACATATTTTATTTATAAATACAATTTATATTAAAATTATTGTATTTCTTGGTGTTTATCATTAAGTCTTGCAGCAGTGTATTATTTATTTTAGTCGTGTGGAATCGACAGTGAAAAAAAAATATTCAATATGTTTTTCGGGTATTCAAATTACACTAATCAAATTCTTAAAACATATAATATTATTGTCGTAAAGCATTTATATGCCGTTGGGAAACAATTGAAGTTAACAATTGGTGAGGCCAAAGACAACTTTGGATACCTTGGCTCTTGTGACCCTATTCGAATCCGCAATGACCTTACCTAATGAGTAATGACTAACCGGCTAATCAATAATAGGTAATTAGTACAATAATAAACGTAATTGCTGAATGTTTCAAGTCCCTAATAATAATACATTTTTGATCTAGCGATTTGTTTGTTTCTCGTGGTTGTTATAGAAACTTGTTGTTGCAAATTAGTTTCCAAAATAATGACACAATTTTTGTAATTGATCTGAAAAATTTGGGGCGCACCAACTTCAAGATATACGTTCTCATTTGTTTTACTATTAAATTATCTTAAATTGCATTCTCTTTTTAATTTTCAACGAATGTTTGTTTTGAAAAATGAACAAAATTTGTTTGTAATTAGTCAGTTGTGAAAACAAAAAAAACATATCTTATGTGCCAGAATAAGGTTAATTATAAAAATACGGACAACATAACACATTATATGATAGAGATCGATGTTTTGTGTCGATGAGCGCACTTGAGTCTTGGTTGTCTGGGGAGACGCGTGCTGTAGCAGTGTTTGGAACATGAACACTTAACGTAGGTTTAGTTACAAATACTATTATTCATGAAATTAATGAAGATATGTAAATTTATCACCTGTATGATTAAAACTTTAAGGTTATTACAATACGAATTAAAAAAAAATATTTATAATTATTTTGGAGCGCTTCGCCTAGGTATTTGAATAACCTAGAGGTGTCATTATTGAGTAAATTCGACCCATATATTCTGGTTTGGAAGATTAATTTTGAAAACGAACGTGTTCCGTTCACTTTCACAGCGTACTAACGAATTTGCATTCACTAAATTTAAAAAAAAAATCATCGACAAGGTCAGGTTAGGTGGTAACATTCACTTTTAAATGCACGAGAAGTGATAACAGATAACATTATTATCATAACAATATAATATATTGTAAAACAAAGATCTTAGGTTTCTCAAAATTAGAATAACATTTTATTTTATTGTTTTAAGAAATCATGTTTGGATTTTTTCTGCAATAGTATAGGTACTTACTACAAACTGTGGTGTACCTAGTGTGTGTATACTGAACTTTTTAGTTCGTTCTAGATTTTATAATTTGTATTAAGAACTCTTTGGATTAATATTATTCCCACGGGTTTTCATAATTGTATAGTACATTAATTAATAATTTCATTAGTTTTCAGAGTAATAAAATCTATAATAGTATACATTATAGCCGTATAAATCAAAAATCTACTTTGAAATATATTTTATATAAGTCAAAAGTCATGGATTTACGATACTTTTCAAAAAAAGTCGCCATTAAAAAATGTTATATTAAATATGACATATAATACAAATTTTTTTGTGTATATAATAAGGTACTTTTAGGTTCTAAACGGGGCTATGAATGTATTGATTTTTCAATGATGTTGTGAGTTTTATTTTTGTATAGATGATTTTTAGTAGAAAAATGCTTTAATTTTCAATTTCAATTTCAATCGCATGTAGAAAAGTGAACCTAGTTTGTACTTGTAGGATATCAAATTAAAAATACTCAGTAAGTAAATTTCCAAATTATCGAGAAAAACAAAATACAATTTAGGTAAGAACAGGCATTTTTACAAAAAAAAAACTGGTTTTTGATAAAACCGATTTTCTTATTTTGTTGTAATTGAAAAACAAGTCATCGTAAGTACTTGCGAATACAGAATTACAATGACAGCCTACACCTACTGTACAGCAGAACAATTGCCCTTTTTTATGATTATCTTTTATTTTAAATTGTTTTAAAAAAAATCCTTAACATTTACATATAGTATAGTAAATTGAACTGTGCCCTGACAGTTGCAAATAACCCTTTAAAGAGTGATTCGAAGGGTTCTATCAATGGATAGTCTCTCTCCTCATGTAAATAATAATGTCATGTAATTTTAATATTCGTAATGTACTTATCACATTTGATTATTGTATACATTTGATACAGATTGTAAATATATATTTAAAAAAAAGAGTGAATCAAACTAAAATAATTAAAATACAATAGTATCGGTTTGTGCCTATAGTAAAACGAAGGTAGAGAAGGTATAGGTATAAAATAGCCTTAATAATTATTATTGTTATCCTTAAATCGGATCTACACTTTCTCCGTGAAATTAACGACGATTTGAATTACTTTTGAATCGGTTCGAAAGTTTTTATTCTACACAAATCCGTATCGTCCTCTCTCGATGTCGTCGTAGAAACCGAGGACAATTAAGGTTAATTAAACTGTGAAAACACCGTTTTTGCATTTCCACGTCGTTGAAAATCGTCAACTGTTTTTTAATTTAAATCAATAACATCAAAAACGTACATAGGCGCAAATAGTGTTTGAGATTTGAGGGGCCTGAGATTTTTTCCAGCAGAGCTTAACACTTTGTCATATATTCCAATGCGTGTACAATTTTCAGGTCTTTGGGGGAGGGGTGGTGTACAACTGTTAGGCCCAGACATCCGCGGTATTCGCGACTATAAGATATTAACACTTTTAGGTACTTATCACAAGTATTCGAGACGATAGATAATAATATGGTAATGTACCACGAATTCGATGAGTATTGTTCGATCGAATCACAGTCGCACTCGAGTGACTCATATTATACGCGGCCGTGTGCAGATTCATCAGCAATAGTATACAGAATAATATGTGAGCTGAACTCATACGATGTCATTGGAATATTTTCCGTCTGTTCGTTACGATTTGGTTGGATGATCGTCAGATTACCGCGGTTAACGCGCACTATAATCTAATATTATCCCTTGAATATTCCTAAAAACATTACCCGTATTTAAAAAGAGTGATTAAAAAATTGTAGTATATAAATTTTTGGCGGCGTTAAGATCAAAAATGTGGAAAGTCGAGACTCGACGACTTGACGACGAATTCGAATCTGCTCTCATAATTCCCTATAATATCGATCGGTTTGGCGAAGAACGCGTCTAAAATCCCATGTCGTGCGTGTGCCGGACAAGGACAGAAAATCGCGGCATCGGACCGACCGCATACCCACCGCAGCAGCGCACGCGGCAGACTGGCGAACACGTGGTCGATACGACCGCCAACCGCATACCAGTACAACTACACTGGTCACATCGCACCGCGGAAATTCGTTATATTTTAACAATGTTATTATTGCACGCCGTCCGTAAAGGAACGTAGGTAGGTCGGGATCGCGACCGTGGCGCTACCTACGCCTCGAAACGCGTTCGACGACGACGACGACGACCACCACAATAATAATGATGATGATGATGGTAGATGATAACGACGGTGACGGACGGTGATAACGGACAGTGTGTCGGAGAGTGGCTCGTCGCGAAACTCGCGCCCGATCGTCGCCAAAACCATCGCGTCCGACGTCAAAGCGTCGTACTATTATTATATTTTTTTACATACACCGCGAGCCAAATAGCATCCGCTCAGAGCATAAACAGAGCGCGACGAGTGAACTGTATTCCGCGTACAACGTACTACGATATTATTGAGCTGTGCACATTGCGACCGTCGTCGTCAGGGTTCAGTCGCAGTGCGTGCGATCGGCCCGAGCGGTGCAGTTCCTGTTTTTTAATCATAACGATATAACACGATATCGTACGCGGTTGTCGATTATTATTCTGTCTCTCCTCTATAGTTTTTCCGGACGCACGCCGATTACCGCGAGGACAATATCGCGATGTGCGTGCTAATAGTTATTTGATCCATCCACTCGTTCTCGTCATCTTTCCGTTTTCACAAGCATGTCCGAAAATGTTGGCTCGTCCACCGTGAGTATACCGTAATATTATTATATTGGTGTGTATTGTCATTACGATATTATGCACACCGTCGCGTCGCATTCTCTTCCGATGATTGTGATTGTTATAAAACGTTTATCGCGTTATTATTGTACCTACGACGAAAAGTTCTAGAACATTAATCATCCGAGGACTGACACTGAAACGTACATTTGGGTATCGTGATTTTTATACGATAAAACCGACTCGTACGGGACGAAAAGAAAATATTCGAATATTGTACATCGTAACAACTTTCCATTTCGGATCAGTGAGACGGATTTGACATTTTCAAATTTTATAACCATCACCATCATCGTCATATTGTCATAAGATTACATTATATTTTTTGAGGTCCACAATGTCGATTGATTGCATCACGATATTGCAATTCATCGAGCAAAAATAGTTTTCTTTTGTACACCATTATAGTTGATGGTTTATTATGCCAAAAATACTTAGGTAGGTTGTACTTGTACTGCAGTACTGACGCCTGGCTGTGTCTTAAAAACCTGTGTAATAACTAATGATATAACCGAGTTGAAATTCAGAATAATATATTCTATGACATAATACTATCGATATTAGCATAAACTACGGTCTACAATAAATTACATTTTTTTAAATCATAGATTCGAAGAAATTAGCATTGTTTATCTCGTTTTTTACCGAAAGTACTCAATTGACAACAAATTGGGTAACCGAATTCTTATTAATTTTAGAATTCCGGCTAATTGATGTCCACTGAACTTCAATAGTATGTTCTAACGATATTTTATTGTTAATTGTTATATAAGTAGGTAGATTGTTGAGCGTTACCGTCTATTTAGAGTATAGGTATACTCTAATCGCAGTTCAAGTGGTTACGATTTGCTCATGACTTGAATGTCGGAAAGATAATAATTATTTTAAAAATATTCTGTTCTGCTAATAAACTGAAATCGTTCGGTCTAGAAAATAATGTATACAATAAAGCATATTACATCAATTATTATTTATTGGGTTCACAACGATAACACATCGTACAATATTTTATATCAATAATGTGTTGTAGAATAATATTCCTTAAATATTTTGAATTAACAGATGAATACACGATTGCAATAGTAGAGAAATAAAATAGATGTGATTCTATAAATGCATAGTATATAATTGTCCTAAATCAAATGTATTTTTATAAAATTATCGAAAGTTACATTTAATAACCTTCCAATGCATGTTTTTTTTATTTTATTTAGATATAACAATACGTTTTAAACTAATTAATGGATCACGAATTTGGGAAAAATATTAAATACATTCTTAAATAATTTTTAATATTCAATTTCAAAGCTTTTAATATCTTGTTTTAAAGCAATTTATTACGCACGTCAAAAAAAAAATAATTGCATTTTTTTTATAAAACATTTATTTTTGTAAAAACATCATTGTCCCTTTAAAAATAATTTGTGCGTAATTATACATAGTTATATATAAATAAAATATATATTTAAGTTCGGTTCATACATTGTAATAGTATTCATCTTAAGTATTTTCATTCTAATGTTTTATTTACTAAAAAATTTAAAGTATAACTCTTTTTTTTAAAAGATATATACAATTTGTAACCTGGGGCACAACTAGAATATTGGCTAAATTATAGTAACATTGAATTTAGTTTGATTAGAAGAAGCAGTAGTGACACTTCCTAATGCGTTTTTTTTGTCTACATTATATGTTTAGTTAAGTTGTTTAGGAGATTTCTACACCGTTTCCTTTTAAACGTCGTGGAGGATTACCAGGAATTACGTTGGATGATAATTTATGAATTAAAGGATTCTTGTAAGTTAGAAGACGATCATGAAAACGCTTATAGAAGCACTTTGCTTCTTCTTGACCGGTTTTTTGACGGAGATCATTGTGAAGGATGAGGTTCGATATGTATGACGCAGAATTAGTAATTTTTCTTAAAGTTATATTTTGGAACGTCTGAATTCTTTTAAGATTTGAAATTTTGGCATTGCCCCCATAATTGGAGGCCATAGGTTCATATAGGTTTTAGTAGAGATTAGTACATGAGTAGTTTAATGTTTAGGTTGGTGTGTTTATTATTATTGAGGAGTGTTTTAAGCATGCGTAGCCGAGAATTCAGCTGTAGTCTTTTAGTTTTAATATTGTGTGTCCAGGTGAGACGGCAGTCAAGAGTTAGTCCAAACGTATAACTCTTAAAAAATAAAACTGAAATAGAATCGAATTTATTGGTAGACATTTTTTAGAAATGAAAAATACCACCCGCATTCAATATTCATATATAAATATACAATGATTATATTATTGTGTACTCATTACTCAACCGACCGTATATCCTAGAGACCTAACCGTTTGCTTTGCCTAGCTCAATGATTTCCACTTCCGTACTCTATATAATTGTTTAAAAATCATAAATTTGTTTTTTTATGAAAACTTTTTATTTTGTAAGGCTTATTTATTGTAGCGCTATCAGGTTAAACGAAGTATTAACTATGATTTGCGTCACTTGATCTAATTGATAAATTGTGATAATATTTTACCAATCTAAAAATATCAAATAAGCACTTAAAACGCATTGTACTAAAAACGACATAATATTACGTTTTATTGGCGCGTAGTTTGGTATTTTTGAGTGCACCTCCCTGAATGTTATATTTTTTATTATTTTTACTATTATTCATATTAAGTTTTCTAACTAAACTTGGTTGAATAAATTAAAAAGAAATTAACGTTTGTGGTTTGTGTTAGTTTCTGTTAGCGTACTTCTATAATTTTATACTTTTACTTTTATCTGTTATCTGTTCACTATTTATATAACTAGATAATTAATTTTTATACATTTGGAATTTCAATAATATACCTACCTATACAATTTATGTATTATTCATTAATTAATGGGTTTGAACGATTTTGAGTCTTATAACGCCACTGCCCTAATCGTAAAATTATACGAGTTCAAGATTCGTATTAGGACATAAAAACTTACATAATATACATGGCTACATTATAATGAGGGAGAATATTTTTTTACGTTTTTTTTTTTTTTTTTGATGATTCTCTAAACTTCATATTAGGTTGAAATTGTCAAAAACAATGGTTATGCCGTTGAAGTACACAATGTCGTCACGGAGGACGGTTACATCCTGGAGTTGCATCGCATCTCGGCAAACAAGAGCGGACAAGAACCCACCAGAAACCATTCGGTGTTCGTACACCATGGCATTCTGGGGAGTTCGGCCGATTGGGTACTCGGCGGGGCCGATATATCGTTACGTGAGTAAACCATATCGATTTCAAAAACAAATCGCTCGATCGAAATGTATATTATTTTCCCGTTTGTTCCCTGTGTCTACCTGCGTAGGTATAATTGTTAAGAGGACGTGGCACCCGCGTGTGTTGTCTCTGTCTTACAAGTGCGTGACACAGCAAATTTTACGCTCGGCAGATCACTTTCAGCTCGGTTAGTTTCAAAATTTGAAAGAATTGACCTCTTATAAAATTTAAAAGCAAGATTATTATCTGGGTCATCTCGTGGACTTTTTATTACATTTTAATTTTAAAACGAGTTATGAGTATTTCAAGATTTACAAACAATTTACAATTTTTAAATATCTACTCAACCCTCGCTTTGAAATTGAAATATAATGAAAAGCCCATGAGATGCCCTAGATAATAATCTTACCTTTAAATTTTATAAGTGGTCAGTTCACTCTAATTATGGAACTAACGGAGCTAAACGTGATCTGCCGAGCGTAAAATTAGGTATGTTATTCGCATTTATTGTAAGACGGAGACAACTCATGCGGGCGCCAAGTCCTCTCAATATCGTACGTTGTAGATACCTATATAATTATGAATTATAATTAAAATATTATGTTATAGCGATGCAATTATCCGACGCCGGGTACGACGTGTGGTTGGCCAACTGCCGGGGTAACACCTACAGCAGAAAGCACTCGACGATGACTTCCAAGCACAGAGAGTTTTGGAATTTTAGGTAAAACTAATAATAACTACTTATATAATATATTATTTTTTTGTATTTTTGTTCATCGCGGGTATACGCCGCAGATACGTTGTGCTTGTATACATAATATATATTTGTATACATGGTCAACTGATTATTATGCTTTCTATGGTCTTTTAATTTTGACAATAATAATTTTATACATTATGTACCCATATAATATTGTAATTTATAATATACTATAATGACGGTTGTAAAGTCTACACGAAGTCGGAACGTTCGATTTGCCAGCTTCGTTCGACTACATTCTAATGAAGACCAACGCCTCGCAACTCCACTACGTAGGCTATTCGATGGGCACGTCTGTGTTTTTCATAATGGCTTCCGAAAGACCCGAATACCATCACAAGATTAGGTCGCAAATCAGTCTCGCACCGGTAGCCTACTTGTTCAACACAACATCGTCTGTGAGACATATCGCTCCGTTCGCGGAGAAGATGAACGTAAGTTTTTGATCAATAGTAATAATTTATATCAACTTAAAAACATGTATGGCGATAAAAAATAAATATTACTCTTATTTTCTCGCTATCGCTCGTAATGTTTATCTGTTGACAAAATCGTCATTATTCATAAACGTTATCACTTGTCAACATTATTTTATTGCATAGAAACTTCGAGTCTTTGCCAAACTACTATTTAGCATATTATATATATATAGATGCAACTCGTGCAAGGTTGTCGCTTTAGCTGATACACACATATATATTTTAAAGATTTTATGATCTTAAGAAAAAAAAATGTTCCAAGGTCAGAATATTATGCGTTTTTAAATTATAACTACGATTATATTATAATTTGGTTCAATATCAATTTCCACGTAGGAAAAACCGGACAGGTCCACTAATTTTAATTTTAATTGTTAAAATATTGTGTGTCTACTACTTACTGGTAATATTTAGTTTTAAGTTTGCATTTGTTTATTAATCATAAAATTAAAATTTCGAAAAACAAGGCGTACGAGTTCAGTTTCGGAATCGTTAACATTGATTGTGATAAAATAGTCATTTATTCTGATATTCAAGTTTAAATAACAAATTAATTATGAACAATGATAGACCTACAATCATAATATAAGTATATATAAATGTATGGTGACCTGGTAGGCACGGTGGTTGTCCCAGTCACAAAACGTTTTCTAGTTCACCAGTTCCAGGATGGATGACCACCTGGATTTTTAGTGATAAATCCTCGCCATATATATACGTGTTCAAACCAATCGTACCCTCCCCCGCAGTAAAAATCAACTTCAATAACCTTCACCCAATGGCCTATGTTGTCTAGGGTATTTAATTAATAATAAAAAAAAATAGTATATATTTCTAACATCAACAACCTGCTGATTTTTCATTTAAACTTTTAAAAATATTAGAGACGATATTATAATGTTAAAATACAATTTGAACAAAAAATGAATTTTTTTCAAACCATATATATTATGTATAATAATAATAATAATAATAAAGTACGAATTAGCCCGAAATTTTTTTAAATTTCTTAAAAAACTAAATATTTAAATTGAATTGTTTTCTGTTTAGATTATGTATCAATGGGTTTCGAATGGAATGTTTATGCCTCAATCGAAGATGCAATCATTTTTGGTAACTAACACTTATGGAGAAAAAATTGCACGGACTCTGTTTTGCCAAAAATGCATATCGTATGCAGTGTCTTCCGTGTGTGGTAGTGAAACGTATACTTTCGAAAATGTAATAATTATATTTTATGAATTCGTTAGTGATATTACACGAGGAAAAGTTATCATTGAAATGATTATTGATCTATGATATTATATTTTGTTTGTCGTCATGACGTGTTATATATAGAAATTAATACCACTCGTCATTGAACACTTTCCGGCGGGGACGTCGTCCAAACTAACCACTCATTTCTCACAGCTTATATTGAAAGGTAATTAATCATAAAATAGTAACTTTGTACATAATAATATGTACCTAATACGTATAATATTATGTTTTATAACTTTTTTGTGATTTTATTTTCGTGCTTTAAAATTCACTGCACAGACTGTTTTAGTCGGTACGATTACGGTCCGATCATGAATTTGCAACATTACAATTCTACCGAACCTCCAACGTACAACTTGAGATCCATACAAATACCGATTGCGTTGATATACGGAAAAAACGACGTATTGACGGACGTGGAGGTAAGGTTTCAGGAATTTCTTGTAAAATTGTTTGTCACCTGCAATTTTATTAATTATGGGTGGTAAGTTGTTGTAAATTAGGACCGTTTTCAAACAGTATTCATACCTAAACATATAAGATCAATTTATATCATTAAACTATCTCAATGACATGAGAATATGATATTTTAAGGTATTTTATTTAAAATAAGCCAGCTATTTGTAAGTATATATTTTATGACCCGTCAACTATAGGTATTTTTATTCTTCATTTTTAGATAGGTATCATAAATGTATTATAAAATATCGTTAGTTTATTTAATCCACAATGTTCCATTTGTTTTCATACAATCGGTGTTGCCTTTAATAGATTACAAACGTTCTCACTGAAAATAATGTTATTATAATTTATAAATAACAAATAGTAATATGAGATTATTTACGATTCTGAGAGTAGCGTATAGTGTACCACGGTATTTACCATGATGTATTTTTTTTTCTGTCATCAATTTTTGGAGTAATTAAAATGCTCTGATTTTTATCATAAACATCTTTTCTGATAAAAAAAGTGAATCATTGTGGATATATTCGATGGGTTAAAACTTAAAATTTTCAGTTGTTTTTGAAAACGTCAGTAAAAAAAAAAGAAGGATAGGAAGGTGATGGGAATTTTCGAAAAATCGATAAAAATTTTTTATGTAACTTAAAAACTAATTACTACGCACACTTAACATTTTCATCAAATATTTATACTATCATTTATACATTCTCGAAATATTTTGGCTTTTTGAGCTATATAAATAGCCATGATAATTTTTTTTTGAACTATCGTCGATAAAAATTTTTTCACTTACCTAGTAAAAAAGCTGAAAATGTAAAGTACAGGTCTTCATAATTCGTTTTATCACTCAAAAATATTAAAAATACGTAAGCACTATATGTTTTCATATACATTTAAAGTTCAAATTTTATGTTTTTGTTGCTCGCAGGACGTGATGAGACTGAAATCGCAACTTCCGAAGCTGATGGACTTCGTTCCGGTCGACAGTCCGCGTTGCAACCACGTGGACTTTTTGTGGAGTTTAGACGTGACCAAACAAGTAAACTTGAAGGTGACGGAAATATTGCAGAAAACCGACCACGCAGCCTGGGAGTACACTGGTCCCCCCTCGGGCTCCTGCAGTACAGACGGAACAAGCGATAGCGACAGTCCAACGACCAAAGGACGACAGTCAAACTCGACGGGTGACCATCACGAGTACGTAAACTTCGCACCGGGCCCGGATCGCTCGGCGGAAAACTCATCGGGTGAAATTCCGTTGCAGCGGGACGTTGACGACAAGTCGGCCGAAGTCGTACTAGGTCGGAAACTGCTGCAGAAGATGCAGCTGTTAGATAACTTGATCGCGCTGCTGAAGTCCACCGAAACCAAGTACCACCGACTTCGGGAAGGTTTGACCAGGGAGTTTTCCGAATGGACTCACGGCGCCCGGAACGCGGCCGGAACTCGTCGCGGAGCCGGAAGTAACTCTGCGGCAGGGTTAGAAGACTCGGTGGCCGGGGCAAAGACCACCGAACAAACCATCACTGTGACGTCACGCCGCGTCGGTATCGGAAAAGTCAGCGACTTTGTTGATTATTGTGCCGGTCTGCACCGCGTGGACGACAGGACGGCGGCGGGACGAGCGCTTTACACCACGTTTAGCAGTCTAGGAAGAGCGATCAAGTTCTTGAAGATGCGTTATAAATAGACGGGAGTTTTCACGAGCTCGCTCTTTTAAATATATATATATCTCAGATTCTGTGTAAGAATTATTGTAACATCGGCACCTGTAGGAGTGCTGCACGAGCCTTAGCGTTATTAGTTGTTTGTTATTGTACCTACTCAAATTGTTATTGTACTCAAATCCAGACAGAGCTTTGTAACTATTTAATAGATTGTATAGGACTGTATCAAGTCTCAAGTTCAACAGAGCGTCTATTATATGTTTATATTGTACAGCGGTTTGTACCATCTGTAGGAAGATTATTTATTAATAATAAAATTATTTTATGATTTATTATTATTTTTAGTGTATTTACATATTAAAAAACTGATATCCATTTCACATTTGGCATACATTCAAATTCTGTGGTCACCTAGACTAGTGGGAACGGACAGTCCAGAGATCAGAGGTTTGCAACGGTTGTGAATAGCCGTTTGTAAAATGATTTGGTTAATGTTTTCTCTATGTCACCTTTACAGTCAGCTACGGGTCTGTGTAAGAAAACAAATACTAGCCGTTGGAATTATCTTAAATATAATATGTTCAATATAGAGGTTAAGAGAATGTCTGCGCAGTATTTATTTTCTCTTGCAGACCCACGCGCAACACTTTCACATAAAATAGTTTAAAAAAAATAAAATGATGTTTATCCTCAAAACAATTATTCTCTATCATTTTTGTAATAGTTGTTTTACTCAAAGATTACTCACAACATAAAAAAAATATTAATAATAGAAAACATATTTTTGAAGGTGGTACGACAGATTTTTACTAAAAACTACAGTCAACAGTTGTAAATTATAAGATATTTCATTACAGAAATATAGACTCAAAAACAATTCATGTCTCATAAAATGTTTATGTCTATGTGTTATGAAAAATATAATTAGTGTCATATTCTTTAAGAAACGATTTAATTAATAAAAAATACTACCATAGACATATAGAATCTATAGAATCTATATTATAGATCCACTAGGTAATTACATTATATTTATGAATAAAACTAAAATACTTAGATCACTTACTATAATTAACTACCCATAATGTCCTAATAATATTATAGGTACCAACCTTACCTACTTGACGAGTTATGATTTTATGAGTTTTAAAATAAAAATATAATAAAAAGTCTATGGGATGCCTTAGATAAAAATCTTACCTTTAAATTTCATAAGAGGTCATTTCACTCTAATTTCAGAAGTGTTAATGATTACACCTGTATAATCGTAATTGGGAACTTGAAATGTGCTTTGTTGCACGTGGGTCAGAGTGAGAAAACAAATAGTACTCTGACATCCTCTTAAATTAATATTACAATATTATTTATAAATATTATTCTTCACGCCTACACAACACAATGCTTTCCAATTGTTGCTTTTAATGTTTCATTAATACACACGTACTTGACAATTTAAACTCAGGGGGCGCAGGATTATACTGCTCATGCCAGGGGTTTAGAACTAGTTCAATTATGCAATTGCGAATAATAAATTAATTATTTATAGCTATATTTATTATATTATTTAAAGAAACTAATGTTTAAACAAGTTAGTAAAAATTTATCATAAAGCATCCTTGTGTACAACTTTATTAAGATTGTATACGTTTAGGTTTTTAAATGTGTACATGTACCTGGACCCATGTATGAATAACCTTGTAATATAATTTAAAGACTTTTATAATGTTATATATTTTATGATTTTTTAAATTCAACCAATAAAAACTAAGGATGTAAATGTGTATCAAGTATGAGCAGGTAAATATTTAGTCAAAATTCTATGAAAATGTTATTTACAAGTCAGGAATTAAAATTAAACTATGTAATCACTAATCGATAGCAAATTTAGATTCTTAGGGGCATAAATGAGGCACATTTGTAGGTACTTGGTCAAATTCGTATAAATAAAAATGTTTTATCAAATATCAAGTTTACTATTACATAACATTTAAAGACTTTGAAATGAGTCTGTATATCATTCAAATAAATACATTTGAAGCACATGACGTGTTGGACAAATCACCGATCACCCTTTAAGAGTTCCATAGTTTTTTTTTAAAAATCATGTTTCAGGTTTTATAGCTGCAGACCGTTATATAAATTTGATTAATCGATTTCGTATCCAAGGCATCCGATAGCGCGTGTTTGTATTTATCTAATGTTTTGTGTCTATAGTCTATACAAAATATGCACTTTAAATGTTGTAATTGTTCCTATAAATACCTAGTTAGCGAATTATTCACCTAGGTACATTTGGTTGTACGAGGTATAATTTTATAATATCAATTACATAATTATTCTCATTGTAAAAGTACAGTATTAAACATATATATTCGATAAAATAATTCTTACGATATCAAGATGAAAACAAATCGGTTAAAAAAGAATAAACACCGCGCCAAAAACTCGGAAAAGTGTCCGGACCAGATTTCTACAGGTGGTGTCCGTCCTCCGCTGTTCAGTAGTCTAACGTGGACTGAATGTGTTCCGATTAGTGTAAAATATTTAATATTGATAACTAACATGCAAAAATAACATGCGCTCAAATGGCGGTTTTTTGATATTAAACACATAGCATTATTGTCTTTTTAAACATTTTATATCGTTTACTTGCCATCATATATAGCATCGCATTCATCTGATGCATCCGTCGATGTCCATTGGACGCAACTATAGACTAGAACTTGATAAGAAATTACGCGAAATCAACAAGTCGCACGAAACGACTATGAGCTATAAGGTATTAGACGAAGACCGTCATCTAATACGAGTACATAGTTTACATCAAAAGGTTTACTTGGGATTTGTCTATTATTACTTGTAGCCTATACATCATATAACTTTGTATTTGTGCAGGATTTGTTGTCCGGGAAATATCACAGAGACAAAGCAGGGCAGAGGGAACAAGAAATAATGGCTAAGAAAATTAAAAAGACTATGATGAAAGCAGAGCTATTACCTACAAAGTAATTTTATACGCTATAGAACTATTTTTTCTTTATTTATTAAATAACCACCTGTGCGCGAGCTTACGTATTTTATGTCCCACTTGACAGTTTTGCCAGATCATCAGTGCAAGCTTGTATTGCGATGAGTCCAGATGAACAATTGAATATTCTAAAAGATATATGGCAAAAACAGAAAAAGGTAAAAAACGTCATGAGTAAAGAAGACAATGAGACGATTAAGTACTATTTGAACGAAGTGAGTATTGACATTGATATTCAATATTTCACGATGCACATTCATATAACATCGAAAAAAAATTTAATTTCTAACAATTATTGTATTTGCTCACTCAACTCAATAATTGCTCCTTATCTCCAGGGTATATCTAGTGATTTTTATAATCCGTTTCCAGAACAAGTGTTAGAAAATATAAAGGAAAATCGTGTTGAACCGAATCTACTAAAAAAGTAACCATACCTTACTTATACATAATTATTAACTGCATTACTTAATGAAATAATTTGATTTATTTTTAAAAACCTATATGTGTTAATTTTTAAAAGACCTTTCATTGTAAAACCAAAAATGTCCAGGTTCACTCATTATATTTAAATATTTTTCCATGAATGCATTTTTATCGTATCATAACTGAGAACTGTAGTGGTTATAGAACCTTTAATCAATGTGGGGTCAATGTATGATGTGTAATATTAATTTTATTTTTATATTTATACATTGTACGTACCTAATATAACAATCAGATATTCAGTAGAGTTTTGGAGATATATGTATATATTTATGAAGATGTTTACGGTTTATACCCAGGACCCGCACAAGAGGACTGTTGGACTTGGATAATATTTGAAATTTTGAAACTGATGGATTACTTTTTTTAATGTAAAATAATATTTTATGGAGCCCTCAAATACATTTAATGCAGGGGCTCAAAATGTTATGTGGGGGCTCTGCGTGTTCCCATGACCCATCTAATATTTATCAAATCAGCATATACCCTGTAAAAATAGTACTAATATGAACGTCTACCTTAATTTTTTTTTCAATTAAGCAACCGTATTTTGTTTTATTATTTATAGACATGTGACATTTATCAATCATTTAAGTATAAGTTAGAACCGTGTGACGAGTAATTAATATTGCAGGTTATCACCACTTATGAGTGTACATATTGGTTATTACTTATTACTTATTGGCATAGTTCAGTCATCAGCGATCTCAAACATGCATCACTTTATTGTTTATATTTGAGCAGATAAATAAAATGTAGTAAAGCTTTATAAAAAAAATATGCATTTTTGTAAAGAATGTGAATTTCTGAATGTATTAAGTTTTTCCGCCATAACTTCGTAAAAAATAGTTTACGAGCAAAGCGAGCAGCTTTTTGGAGGGTTGAATCTGATTATTTGTGCCTTGTAAATTACAATATTCATTGCATATTGTAATCTTTGCATTAAATGCATAAATGGGCGTAGTTACTTATACTCTATAGTTTTTTTACGAAAACACCACTGCAGATACGAGACATGCACTTGCAGCTGCTAACGACAATATTAATGCATTACATTTATGTACAATAGGCGTATAATAAAAAATTTATTTTCAAACTTCTAAATTAAGTTATTTATAAGTAATAATAAGGACACAATAGAAATTAGAAATGTTTAGAAATTTCATTAATTTTGACATTGAATTAAAATTGTTGATATACTTATTTAGTTAATGAATAATTTTAATTAGGTATTATTTTTTGACGACATTTTTGGAAAATGAAATACGACAAAATTATAACACTGCATGCAAAAAAATAATCCTAGATTATTTACTGATGGATCCGGATGAACTAAATAGAATTGGAATGACAAATTATTATAACAGATCTAATTATTCTATAATGCAAATCAGAGGTCCTATTCCATGGCACCAAACCGCTATTATTCAAAGACATCAGATAAGGCAAAATTTATACATTTTTAATGAATCTATTTTAATGTTGAATACTATATGGGAAAAGTAAGCAACTTAAATAAATTATTCATTAATTTTATTCTGTTTATTTAATTTTTAATTTTCTCTTAAAGGTATTCTAAAGGCTATATTTTTTCTATAGAAAATTTAAAAGAAGAAGGTTTGCCTATGAAACCAAGTTCTCTACAAGAGTTTTTGGATAAATCATGTGGGCAATTTCGGAAGAAATTATTAAATGAGTATGCAATTTTACTGTTTATTTATATTTTGTAAAATAAATAATAATATTGGTTATAACAAAATTGATAACATAAAAATTCGTTTTCATAATCAATTATTGTGCTTTAAAAATTAAACAACAAGTAATAAAATATATTCTTTGACCACACAGAGAATTTTTTTAATCTAAACTCATTTTGTGTTAACTCTTATAAGAGTATTGATTGTCTTTATTTGATTATATTATGGTTAGGAATGATACATTAATAATATTAATTAATATATTATTGTTAGAAATTATAAACGTATACAAATTTACTTTTTTAATGAGTGTCTTACATTAAACAAAATTAGTTTATTATCTATCCATGTACTAAAAATGTTTCAAATATATGTATAATGTATATACATATTTTACAATTTTATTTAGTGGTTTTCATTTGTAAATTTGTACTATCGTACACTAATTATCATTATTTAATTGTTCGGTCATTTCAAATAGTGAATATATTTTATTTAAACATTTAATACAGATCATATAATAAAAACTAAATTAGCTTCTACTGCATAATTTGTAATCAAAAATAGGTGGATTGTGGAATGTGCTGAGTTATTTCTGAAAATAAAAGAAAGTTATCGAGATTTATTAGCAAAGCATGGAATAAATGCAATTAAGGATAAAATTCAAAAGTTTTTTGACTGTGTTGCAACTCTCATGTCCAGGCAGTTGAGACAATTTGTATTTAAGTCTTTAAAACATTTTATGAAGAAAATACTTGAATATAAGGTTGGCGTTGAGCTATTATAATATTTTTTTAAATACTATTAAGGCTTACAAATAAGATAAACTGTGTTAAATTGTAAATTAATTAAACATAGGCAGGTAACAAACTATGGATTTTAAATTGAATAAAAGAATTGGTTGGGTAACTAAATTGTTTTTACATTTGAAGTAAGTTATTTATAAAACAATAAATTGTATGTGTTTCTAATGTTTCTATTTTATATTCATAATATTTTACATGAAACATTGATACATAATATAATACTAATTACTAACTATTATCCATCTTAAAAAATCTTAACAACTTATTTCCTCTGAATATAATTTAAATAGGTATCCACGCAATTTTCCATCACAAATATAAGTTGTATATTTATATTTATAATTATATATTAATAAAGTTTATATTTATTAAAATTGATATAATGCAGCTATAAACATATTTTTTCTTAAAACTTACTATATTTAGGACGGAAATGCAATAGATACTGAATTTAAAGAAAACATGTTCATTAATCTGCCGTTTATTATTCTACGAGCAGTGGTTCCTAACCCTAATTCAATTCAAATATCATTTGAACCTACGCGAGAAGAATGTTTAAATCTTTTATTGTCAATCCCGAAAAAAATAATTAAAACAGTACAAGATATACCAAGAGTTGAACAACTGTTAATGAAACGTAATATTATACAGTTATAAGTTATTAAATATCTTCTTTTATTAATGTCTAAAATTAAACAAAAATAATATTTGAACTGTTTTTAAATTCCTCAAAGAACTCAAAGGTGATTCTACTATGGTATTAAAAAACATTGACGAATCTGAAGAGGATGTTCAAAATATGTTATTTGAAGTTCGTAATGTTCTAGAAAACAATTTTTCAGGACCAGAAACTTACATAAAATATTATAAACCCTACTACTATTTGTTAAATGGCACTGAAACAAAATCCTTCAATAAATTTTTTTCAAGTGATCCATTTCCATTATTGGCTGTATGTATCTCGATAATATTATAACACGATTTAAAAAGTAAATAAACCATGTTAATATCATTCTATATTTTTAAGGAATTCAATGAATGGGGCATCAAGTATATGACTATAAATGCAGATATCATTAAACTTAGAGATCGAGTGGAATTAAATTTAATAAAATTAGATGTATCCGAGGTTAATACATATTTAAAAAATATAGTTAAGAGTTTGAATAACAAAATTCTTGACTATTTTATGGATCTAACTCGGCAAAATATTTCTGGGTAAACATACTATTCTGAAATTCTGAATTATATAATATATTATTTTATCAGCAGTATAAATAGTAATAATACCATTAAAACAGTGACCACACTAATAATCATATTTTTTTCAGAATAAATAGTGCATTTGAGGTTATGTCTACCAAGTTATCAGAAACACCTGAGACTACTGAAGATTTAGTAGAACTTAGTAATTATGTAACACTAAGCCGGGATTCTACTTTATCAAAAATAAAAGCTCAACTGAGGGTTGTCGGAGAATACATAATGTTTCTTTTTGATTACACGTTGTTCAACAGTAACATAATATTCCTTTTTATGTCGTGACATTTTAACTTTAAACGACTAATGTTTAATAGTCGATGATATAAATTTGCAATCACGAGTATATCGATGGCCTCAAGAGATTGAACAGTTTTTAGATATAGCCACAAATAGAGTTGTTCAAAAGAAAGCGGTAGTTGAAAGCCAATTAAAAACTAAAAAAACTGAATTTGAATTTGAGTACGTCAAAAGTGATTACAATCAAGTACTACCTGTTAACAATTAAATGATTGGTTTTTATAGTCTTAAAAGTCACCACAAACTATTGGATCATTTAAAAAAAAAAGATCCACCAATATTAACTGATGAGGAAATCATATCAGCAACTGAAGAAGTTGATCGTCTTTCTAATTTCCTTAAAGAAGATATTGCTGTTGCTAAGGTATGTAAATAAAATTTAAATCATTAACTATACAACAAAAATATAATTAAAATTCAATTCAACTAATCAATATATATTTAGAGCGTGTGTTTAATATAACCCTGTTATAATTTTGCTTATCTTATTAAACAATGTTTTGCTTTTATTAACACTAGTTGTCTAGTTATCTATAGCAATTCTATTGATATCAACTGTTGAGTTCAACAACTACTCACCTACCTATGTCATTTAAATTTACTATGTATTTATTAAGGAATAAAATAATTTAGAGTTCAAACAATAATTTATTACACTAAACAATTTAGAGCATAAATCACACTCAAAAGCTATTGGATGTCGAAATTACACCATATACTTATCTTTATTCTATGGTTGCAACTAGTGAGCAATTTGACCGTTTGTGGCACATTGCTTATGATTTCCAAAACTATTATGAAGTATGGTTCAATGGTAAAATATACCATAATATGGATATATATAATATATGAAAAATGTGGATTAATGTATTTTTAATAGAACATAATTGACTGAATCTTAGGGCCATTCTACGATCTGAACGCTAAAGAAATAAAGGATACGGTGGATAGTATGTGGAAAAACCTATATAAATTAGCTAGAACTCTTCAAGATTATCCCGGGTCAAAAAGAGTAGCAGAAATTATGCGTGGTCGAGTAGATGATTTCAAAAAGTATTTACCAGTATTAGATACAATTTGTAATCCGGGTATACATGATAGACATTGGATGGAGGTAATTTCATTAATATTGTATTGTTGTACATAATATATGAATCAATAAAAACAAAAACCGGTGTACCCATTAGATTAGTAAAAGTGTTGGTGTAGAGTTGCATTCTAATGAAACATCAACTTTGTCTCAAATGATTGAAATTGGTTTACTGGATCATATTGAAAAACTCGAAGAAATTAGTGTTATTGCAACTAGAGAATATTCTCTTGAACAAAATCTTCGAAAAATGAAAGAAGAATGGATACCTATTGAGTTTGAATGTAGCCCATATCGGGAGAGTGGAGTTAGCATATTAACGGCGTTAGATGACATTCAAGTTATGTTAGATGATCATATACTGAAAGCTCAAACAATGCATGGATCGGTTTATATAAAACCTTTTGAAGAAGAAATGGATACATGGGAAAAGAAATTAATTATGATGCAAGACATTTTAAATCTATGGATCTCAGTAAATATGTTTATGAATGGTAATAGGTAGGTACCTACTTAAAATTAAAATACAGTTATTTATTTTCATATTAATTGTGACCAGATGCATAATAGTTAACAATAATTCTTTATAAAAAGTATAAATAATTGTGTAATTTTTAATCCTACTCTGATAATACCTAAACTGTCTTATTTACTAAATATACACACACATATATATAATATTATATATACATATATTTTATTAAAGTCATAATAAATGACATATTTCATTTCATTTCCAAGACTGATTGTAAATCAATACTCAACACATATTTTATAATGAATAATAATACATATAAGTATTAACTATTTATTTAAATAATGTATAAAAATATATGTTTTAAAATCAGGCCATTTACTATCATATTTTACACTTTGAATTTGTATGGGTAATTTATAATAGGGTTGCAAAATATTTAAATTTAAGTGAGTTAATTTTATTATACATTTAACCAAAATACAAGCACCATTAAATGTTATAATTTTAGATATAACCTATGCCTTTGTGCTTCCCAATATATATAAATATATGTATAAATATATACATCTTATTGTAATAAAGAAAGTTTTGTATACCTATTAAAAATATATGCAATTATTCTACGTACATTTTAGGTGCAAGGGATTTGGATGTATTTAGGTCCTATATTTAGTTCAGAAGATATTAACCGGCAGATGCCCGAAGAAGCTAGAAATTTTAGGATAGTAGATGCTATTTGGCGTCATATTATGATTCATACTGTTAAAAATAGTAATGTCCTCGAAGCTACAAATTATCCAAATATGTTACAATTACTAAAAAAATGCAGTGTTATGTTTGAGCAGATACAGAAAGGATTAAATGAGTACTTGGAGAAAAAACGTCTTTTCTTCCCGAGGTACATATGGCATTTTATTTTTATTATTCATCACATTGAAATTTTTAAGTGCTCAATTAAAATTACAGATTTTTCTTTTTATCTAACGACGAACTTCTCGAAATTTTGTCCGAAACCAAAAACCCACTACTGGTGCAACCACATCTTAAAAAATGTTTCGAAGGAATTGCGAAATTAAACTTTACAAAAAGCGTAGAAATTGTGGGAATGATATCAGCTGATGGTGAAGTAGTAGAATTTAATGGAATAATATATCCCGCGGAGGCTAAGGCACGAATAATTGTTTAGAATACATTATTTGTATTGCAGTCTGTATTCAATTTTATGTTACAGGGTTTAGTAGAAAAATGGTTAATCCAGGTTGAAATTTTAATGATGCAGTCAATAAAAAAAATTATTAACGATGCAGTAAAAAAATACGCTAATACTAATCGGACCGAATGGGTACTTCAGTGGCCAGGCATGGTAGTTTTATGTGCTGCAACAATAAATTGGACTGCCGAAGTAGAAACTGCTATTGAAAAAAGAACGCTTCCTGTTAGACAAGTTTTTTAAACTAAAAAAAACTACCTTGAATGGTCAATAATATTTAAGTCATGTATTTTTGTATTAGGGCTACTTACAGAAAAGCAATAATCAAATAGACAATTTAGTAAATTTAGTGCGTGGCACACTAGGCAAAGGCGAAAGGGCAACGGTGTGTGCTTTGATAGTTATAGATGTTCACGGTGATTAACTATAAATATTTATTCATTAATACATTATGGTGGTTTTTTTTAATAAACAGTGTTGAATATTGTTGTATTTAATATTTTAAGCTCGTGACGTTGTTAAAAATCTTAGAGCTCTGAAAATAAGCAGTGTCCGTGATTTTAATTGGATTAGTCAACTTAGATATTATAATAGAAATTCAAAAACCACTGTGTCGATGATAACTACCACTTTAGACTATGGAAATGAATATTTAGGCAATACACCAAGATTGGTAATTACTCCGTTGACAGATCGTTGTTACAGGTAAAATAATAATTTTAGTTAAAATAAAAATTAATTTTTTAAAACTATGTTAAATTAAATAGAACACTTATGGGCGCATTAAAATTATACCTTGGTGGCGCTCCAGAAGGTCCAGCTGGTACTGGAAAAACAGAAACTACAAAAGATTTAGCCAAAGCAATAGCCAAACAATGTGTCGTATTTAATTGTTCTGAAGGACTTGATTTTAAGGCTATGGGCAAATTTTTCATGGTCAGTAAAATGCAGTGTGTTATAATATTTTGATTTTTTAAATGTTGCATCTGCACATTTACGTGCATCGAATTTAAAGGTACAAATTAATTTATTATAATATAGGCTAAATGTTAATGATACGTGAACACGTGATCCTCGTTAGGGAACGGTTTTAGTGGTTTTATTTGCATATATTATGATAAAATACAAAACAAACAAAGGAAGCAAACATTAATTATGTGTGATAAAAAAATATACGATAGTTAAGGGAGCTTTAGGGGGAGGGCAAAGGTGGCTGTTAGGAGATTTGTTTAGACTCTATGTCTGTATGCAGCTTATAATTCATGTGTCTTGCATATAAAATTGACTATATTATTATTATGTCCATGTACCTAGTACTGATACAAAATGTTCTTGATATTTCCTTGGGACTTCATTCTGCGAATGCAGTTATTACGATGAAGTGACATTTTAAATAAAACGTTTTATATTTTTGGATTAACATATTTAAGTCGAGGCTAAATAATATTATTTTCATTCGACATGCAATATAATATATATTTATAATATATGTATTTATATACTTACTGAATATGCTAATTTATCTATTTTGCAGTACTTACCCGTTTAAAACTTTTGTATGGGGCTCAACAATCGTCAGTAAATATTTTTCGTGATTTTTATTATTGTATATTTATTATTTAATGATTTAAAATATTTTAAAAATAATTTTTCGGTAAATTCCTGGTCCCGTATTAGAAGATTTACTGTATTTATATTACTATATTATTGTAGATACGAGCCACTGGTCTGGGGTAAGAAGTCATTATTATGAAAATAATTTTAAAAAGCTTTCAATGAACTTCTATAGATAACTACAATTAAAAACAGTAAAACCCGTGTAATTTGGAACCTGAACACGGTAATACGTCTCTAATGATAGCTACAATTGTTGTCTCCTTATTAGGGATTAGCACAATCTGGAGCATGGGCATGTTTTGACGAATTTAATAGAATTGAACTTGAAGTGTTGTCGGTTATTGCTCAGCAAGTGTATATTATACAAATGGCGATAAAAGCTAAAAAGGAAAAATTCATGTTTGAAGGCACAGAGTTAACATTAAATCCCACTTGTGCAGTTTTTATAACTATGAATCCCGGGTAAGATTATATTTTTAAAAATTGCTTACGTTTTTACCGTCGGTATCTTAATATTGTAGTACTATCTTTTATTATTAATTATTATTATTATAGGTATGCTGGACGTCAAGAACTACCCGATAACTTGAAAGTATTGTTCCGCACAGTCGCTATGATGGTACCAGATTACGCCATGATTGGAGAAATATCATTATATTCTATGGGTTTTAGTGATGCTAGAAGGTATATTGTTAATGTTTTTTTTTTTGTTAATATTGTTAAAATAACAATTTGGAACTTTAAATAATAATTATATTACAGTTTGGCTGAAAAAATTGTTGACACATATAAGTTATGTTCAGAACAATTATCGTCTCAATCACATTACGATTACGGTATGAGGGCAGTAAAATCTGTATTAACATCAGTTGAAAATTTGAAAATTAAATATCCTGATAGCAACGAAGAACAAATTGTACTAAGAGCTATATACGATGTCAATATGCCAAAGTTTTCATCGGAGGTTCCACTCTAACTATAACTAATTAACGCATTTAATAATTATGTCATACCTTAAAATATTTTATATTAGGATATACCACTTTTTATTGGTATATATGGAGATTTGTTTCCCGGTGTCGATCTCTTAGTTCCGGAAAGAGACGAACTTATAAACAAAATAAATATTAACTTAGCTAAAAGGAATTTACAAAGTACTCCGTGGTTCATTGACAAAATAATACAAGTATATGAAATGGTTTTGGTTAGACACGGGCTTATGATTGTTGGTGAACCATTTTCAGGAAAAACTTGCGCCTATCAGGTTATTATTTATACATTTATTGTCTAAAATTGATCGTATACATTTGTATCTATCGTAAGCTATATTCAAATTTGTTTTTATAAATTGTAAGTGCGTCAGGTATTAAGGTTCCTTGTAATCAATGAATTAATATAATAAGATGTTATATTTCTTTAGTGTTTGTTACTAATGATATTTAGACATTTAGTAGGGTTTATTTTTTTAATTTAACTAAATAGTTTTTATCATATCCATATTTGAAATTTTTTATATTATAGATGTTCTTTTATATTGCAGGGTTTTTCTTAAATTTTAGATTATTACAGATTATAATTATAACTATTAGTGCTTGTTTAAGCTACATGAGAGTGTCATATTATATTATTTTACAAACATAGGTAAGTTCGTAGACATCACATATTATTGTTGTCTGATGTAGTCATAACTCACCCAAACTTACCAGAATAAAACGGGTAGTTTCTATTAATGATCTACTCAAAATGTGTAATATAATTTTGAATGAATGTATTGAATAATAACAAAACATTAAAACACATTTTTTTAATACATTTTAACGCATTTTATAATTTTTAATGTCATATATTTTGGTTATAAATTTGATCCCCAGTCTGAAATCATTACTTTAGATACTAGAGAGAATTATACAACTTAACTTATTGTAAATTGTGAACATTTTTGAAGCTTATTTAAATTATCATTAGCTTTTGACTTGAGTAGTGAAACTTAATATTAGGTACATTATGATTATTTATTTAATATTTACTTGCTTCTTACATATTGGTTGATTTTATGATCGCCATAGGTCTTGGCAGAATCGTTAGGTGATTTACAACTCGAACGTAAAGCAGTAATGAAAGAGTTTAAAACCAATTGTAAAATAATCAATCCAAAAGCAATTACTCTTGGTCAATTGTATGGATCATTTGATGCTGTTTCGCATGAATGGTATGATGGTAAATACTCATACTATGTATTATTTAAAACAAAAAAATAATAATCCCGTGACACTAAAATTGTTATTTTAGGAGTCTTAGCAATCGTGTTTCGAGAATTTGCAAATAGTGTATCGAAGGATCGTAAATGGATTGTATTTGATGGCCCTGTTGATGCGGTATGGATAGAAAATATGAACACAGTGTTAGACGATAACAAAAAACTTTGCTTAATGTCCGGAGAAATAATTCAGGTTTATATAATTTATCTAAAAAGGGGTATTGTATTTCAAAGTGTATGTACTAGCTACTAGGTACAAGTAGTGGTCAAATGATTTTGTCATGTTGGGGGAGAGATGTATCTGATTATTTTTTAACATACAATATTATTTTGATCATTAAAAATATAAATTTTGGTTATATCTAATGTATATTTGGTTAAATTCACTAAATACAAACTTATTAATTAGAATATTTTATGAATATATATTATAGAATCTATTTTTTACTTTTTTATTTTTGCTAGTTTGTCCAATACTTTGTATGTGGTTGTATTTATTACCCCGCAATGAACAGCCATATGGCCAAGCCAATGAAACGAGTTATTACACTACGACTATAACTATACAATTTTCCCATGTATGCATACAATTGACATTTCAAAAATACATTTAATTTAACTATAAAAGAAGTGAATAAAACCTAATTACATTTTATTGTAATTTATTGTATTTTCATATATATGACATGTTTTTGTTTCAATTTTTGAACTGTTAAGGTTCATGCTAAGTATTATGAAAAACCCTTCCTATATATTTTTCATCATAACGACTTAAACGACTGACCAACAATTAAGGTATTTCTAGTAATTTAATTAAAAACTAAACATTTTTGATTTTGTAAAGAAGTTTACATTGCATTCATACCAGCAATACTTATTCCAATTACACAAATATTTTCATCCAGCCAAAAGCACATATAATAAGCAGCATATTTTAATATTTACCTCTGTCTTGGTATTTTTTAAATATACGAGTACAAACTTGTATAAGCAGTGTTTAAGAATATAGTCAAGACATATTCTGTGGAAATCTACTATAAGTAGTAATTATTTAGTATAATTTATGTGTTTAGAAAACAAGAATTTAAAAAAATGTTATGCGTTACACAATATAAATATATAATATATATTTAAAAAAATACCTTGGGGATCTATCTCCAACATCCGCCCTCTCACGTTTGACCACCACTGACATATTTACATTATATTTTCTAATACATTTTTGTTTTGTACAGATGAATAATAAAATGAACATGGTATTTGAACCTGCCAATTTAGAGCAAGCTTCGCCTGCAACAGTATCTCGCTGTGGTATGATTTATGTGGAGCCAAAGCAACTTGGTTGGAGATCTTTTTGGTTTTCGTATAAGCAGGCACTTTGTTCTAAAATTTTGCCAGACCAACAAATTATGATGGATCACTTAATCGAATGGGTAGTACCTGCAGTATTTGATTTCATACAAAGACATTGTAGTTTATTTTTAGATACTTCTGAAAATCATATGTTTAACGTAAGTACCTAGTGCATTTTTAAATAATTAATTTAAATACGACCAATATTTATTATTATCTTTTATAGTCTTTTACAAGGTTAATAGAATGTATGATTCAAGAAGAAACTGGAGTTGGATTCGCAACCATAATGTTAGGATGTATAATGATTTTCAGTTTGGTCTGGAGTTTTGGCTCCTTAATTAAGAGCGATAGCCGAAATAAATTTGACACATTTTTAAGGAAACTACTTCTTGGAAATATTGATGAATATCCGAAACCCGCTACTTTTAGGTTGACAAAAACAAACCTTTTTCCAGATACGGGCACAGTCTATGACTATGTGTATGATTATAAAAACAACGGCTCTTGGGTCTTATGGTCTGAAAAATTGGAATTTAAAATGATCTCACCAGATGCCAGAGTAAATACATTATTTAACACTTATTTTTTTTTTTAGTATTTGAGTTAAAAACAATAGTTGCATTAGTGACATTGACTTTGTTCATTATATAGATAAATGACTTAATCATTGAAACGGATGAAACAGCAAAGCAAAATTTTTTTCTCCAACTATTATTAAAAAATGAAATTCCTTTACTGTTTGTTGGTCCCACTGGTACTGGAAAATCAGCTATTGTACTAGACTACTTAATACATTTGCCAAAAGAAAATTTTTTAGCAAATGTTCTAAACTTCTCGGCACGGACTGCAGCTAACACTGTACAAGACATTATAATTTCTAAATTGGAAAAGTATATTAATCGTTGTAACTTTTATTAGAGAAATTCGTAGACTAACAAAGTACTCTTTGTACAGGCGAAGAAGAGGAGTTTTTGGACCGTCTGTTGGGAAAAAATGTATGTTGTTTGTAGATGATTTAAGTATGCCATTACCGGAAAAATATGGTGCTCAACCTCCAATAGAATTGTTAAGACAATGGATTGATCATGGTAATTGGTATGATCTTCAAACTAAATCAAGAATAGATATACTCGACATGGTTAGGTTTATTTTAAATTATTATTAGGTATAATACATGCAATAATGTTACTAATAAGTAATTATTTATTTGTATATTTTTAAGTTATTTATTGGTGCACTTCAACCTCCTGGTGGTGGTTCAAATCAAGTTACTACTCGTTTCACTAGACATATGAATGCCATTGGTATTGATTCATTCAGTCAAGAAACTATGTCCAAAATTTTTTCTCAAATTATGAAATGGCATTTTAATAAAGGATTTTCCGAGACCATCACATTACAAGGAATTGTATTAACTCTTAGTTTTAGAATACAAAGCTACATATTTTAATTTAAATGAATTTAGAATGTTGTAGAAGCCATATTGTTTGTGTATAAAGAAGCAGTCGCTACATTTTTACCGACTCCTGCTAAATCTCACTACACTTTCAATCTCCGAGATTTCACCAGAGTTATAAAAGGAATATTATTGTTACCAGCATCGCGGTGTAAAACCCTTGAAAAGATTTTCCGACTTTGGGTTCACGAGACATGGCGTGTATTTGGTGATAGATTAGTACATGACGACGACCGTAATATATTATTTGAAATAATGAAAACAGCATCTTATAGTTGTTTGAGACAACCAATGGACGTTTATCTTAGCGATTTAATGCCAATTGAAGATAGTTTTTTAAATTCTGATCATTTACGAAACCTTTTTTATGGAAACTACATGGACCCAGATAGTGATAAAAAAATTTATGATGAAGTTCATAGTGAAAAAAAACTAATCAAACAAATGGAGTATTATTTAAACGAATACAACACTATGTCTAAAAGTCCATTATCAATGGTTATGTTTAAGTTTGCCATTGAACACGTGTCTCGTGTAAGTAGAGTCTTACAACAAGACAATGGCCATGTGTTATTAGTTGGGATAGGTGGCAGTGGAAGACAATCAGCTACAAAGTTGGCCACATTTATAGCCGATTATAAAATATTCCAAGTATTATTATACTATATTCTATAAATATATCCATTAATATATACTAATATTACAATAATATATAAATTTTTTTTTATTAGATTGAAATAGGAAGGAATTATGGTAAAAATGAATGGAATGAAGATATGAAAAAAATATTAAGATATGCTGGATGCGAAGGAAATCCTATTACATTTTTTTTATCTGACAATCAAATTGCAGAAGAAAGCTTTGTGGAAGATATCAATATGTTACTTAATACTGGGGATATACCAAATCTTTATCAATCTGATGAACGAGTTGATATTTTAGATAAAATATCTAATATTGCTCAAAATCTCGTAAGCTCAATAGTATATTATTTTTAATAATGAGGGTAATATGAATCTTTACGAATCATCATTTTAATTTATTCTTAGTAGTATATATATATATATTATATATATTAGTTTAAGACTATCTTATCATTCTTTTCTCTCTTTGATTATTTTCTAAAGTAAATCTCTCAATATTGAAAGCTTACCCAACACCGGAAAGTTCAGCTTTTGTCAATTAAAGTTTTTCTTACTGTACAGCATAATCCATCACCGTTTGTTTAAGTTTTTCTTTATTCAATCCGAAAATTTGTATTATTTTAACATAGACTCCTAATGGCTAACGCTCATATTAAATTTCAAACGTCTGACTTTATTTGAATATTATATTGATATAAAATATATATTATGTTGAATTATAGCATATTATTAGTAAAAACTTTTAATTTTTAACTTTTTTATTTAAAATAAAAACAAAGTTTTGTTACAGGAGAAAAATGTTGAAACAACACCTCTTGCTTTATACAATTTCTTTATAGAAAGAGTCAAAGAAAACCTTCATCTTACTTTAGCTATGTCACCAATTGGCGATGTGTTTAGAAACCGCTTGCGAATGTTTCCTTCACTCATTAACTGTTGTACGATTGACTGGTATGGCATAAACTATTTCAATAAATTAAAATTATTTCATTCAATGTAAATGATGGAGAAATAAAATAAAAAAAGCATATTCTGTGTTTTAATTATAGGTTTACAGTTTGGCCTGAAGATGCTCTAGAGAAAGTTGCTGAATATTATTTAAAAGATATGTCTATTAACAGTGATATTGCTTCATCTTGTGTAGTAATTTGTAAAGAATTTCATACGACAGCTAGAGATGCTTCTGCTAGGTAAATTTTCAAAATATGTTAACGTTTTATGAATATTGGTAGATCGTCTAACTATTATTTAATAATATGACTTAATAATATTAAATTAATTTCATAATTTTATTGTTTGGTTGATTTTATTTATATGACTTAGTAACTTTTTTGGTAATTATGGACTAACATAAAGTGAAATTTTATGTTTCAAATTAATTTTAACTTTTGTCTCAAATATATTACATTTCAGGTTTTATTCAGCGTTAAAGAGGCATAACTATGTTACACCAACGTCCTATTTAGAGTTGATTAAAACATTTCAAAATTTACATAAGAAGAAAGTAGATCAAATTACAACTTTGCGTAGTAGATATGAAACCGGATTAGAAAAATTAGACTTTGCTGCTGGCCAAGTATTTGTTATGCAAGATCAACTTACAGCTTTAAAACCAAAACTTGTAGAAACATCGTTGGTAACAAAAGCTCTTTTGGTTAAAATTGAACAAGACACTATAAAAGCCGAAGCCAAAAAAGAAGTAATTATTAAAATACAATAATTTTTATTTATAATACTCTAAAATTAACTAGGTACCCATAATATATTAGTTAGTGGGTGCCGATGAAGCACTTGCTAATGACGCTGCAGCAGCATCACAGGCTATTAAAGATGAGTGTGAAAGTGATTTAGCTGAAGCTATACCAGCTCTCGAAGCTGCAGTTTCAGCTCTAAATACTCTTAAACCTGCTGATATTACATTAGTAAAATCTATGAAAAATCCACCACATGGTGTCAAGTTAGTCCTAGAAGCAGTTTGTGTTATGAAAGGAATAAAATCTGAACGTAAACCCGATCCCAAGGGCTCTGGGAAGATGATTGAAGATTATTGGGGACCTTCTCAGAAACTTATTTCAGATACTAAATTTTTAGAAAGTTTAAAAACTTACGACAAAGATAATATAGATCCTACAATCATGAAAAATATAAGAGAAAAGTAGTTTTATTAATTTATTTTGCATACAAAAATAAATGTATGAATAATTTTCAGATATATTAGTGATCCAGCCTTCGATCCAATTACTATTAGATCGGTTTCTAATGCGTGTGAAGGCCTTTGTAAATGGATACGAGCGTTGGATGTATATGATAAAGTAAAAAAAGTTGTTGGACCTAAACAAGAAAAACTTCATCAAGCGGAATTGGACTATAACGCTCAAATAGAAACACTTAACGAGAAAAGAGCTGAACTTGCCGAGGTATTGGGCAAGCTTCAGACATTGCAAGATGAACTTGCAAAAAAAACTAAAGAGCAAACAGAATTAGAAGATAATATTGAACTATGTTCTAAAAAATTGACCCGAGCTGAACAATTAATAAATGGACTTAGTGGAGAAAAACATAGATGGAGCCAAACAGCTCTAGAGTTGCAATCAACCCTGGATAACGCGATTGGTGATGTATTGTTATCTGCTGGTGTTGTTGCTTACCTTGGAGCATTTACTGTTGACTTTAGAAATGTTAGTACTAATGTCAATTTTATTCTTTAAAATTTTAATTAAATTTGTGTATATATATCAGATTTAAAGTGTAGACGCTGGGTTACTCCTTTTTTCAAGTAACTCATGTCAAGTATCTACTTATATTCTTTTATAGCACACATTCTCATCTTAAAATTAGTTGACATATTGTGTATTTACTAATGAGAAAAAAATTATACATATTATACCAATACAAAAAAATGTTATATACAGGTACTTATTGATGAATGGAATCAAATGTGTTTGAAAACAAATATTCCTTGTTCAAAACAGTTTTCACTAATACATACATTAGGGGAACCAGTATTAATTCGGGAATGGAATATATTTGGACTTCCGGCTGATAATTTTTCAATTGAAAACGGGATTATTGTTTTTAGTGCTACGAGATGGCCTCTAATGATTGATCCCCAAGGTCAAGCAAATAAATGGGTAAAAGCTATGGAAAGTACAAACAAAATTTCTGTAATCAAATTGACAAATTCAAATTATATGACTTCGATTCAATTAGCCATTGAACATGGTTTACCAATTCTCTTAGAAAATGTACAAGAAGACATAGATGCTACACTTGGTAACGAATTATACATTTCATAAAATGTTGTGAAATTTAAAACTTAAAATTTATTTTAAAATATATAAGAAATGTAATTAATAGGCTTTGGTACTTTTTATAGACCAAGTACTACTGAAAAACATCTATAAGCAAGGCGGAATTGAATACTTGAGATTTGGCGATAATTTGTTGGAATATAATCATTCGTTTCGATTTTACATCACAACACGACTTAGAAATCCTCATTATTTGCCTGACATATCTGTTAAAGTAGGTTACTTCATACAAGGGTTTGGCTAAATTAATCAACAATTAACCTAAATCATTTTTTTTTTTTAATATTTTTGATTTAGGTGTATAATGTTGATACATTTACCAAAGTATAATATAATTTATAAAAATACTTTCACATTAAGCATTTTTCTGATTTTTAAAATAAATAAATTTAACTTCTAGAATAAATGAATATTATGATTTAGATATATTTTAGTTATATTAATGCAATACAAACGGTTTATCATTTTTCGGTTGTTATAAATAATAATTTGTGTTATTTAGGTAACACTATTAAACTTTATGATTACGCCACAAGGGCTTCAAGATCAATTGCTTGGGATTGTTGTTGCTAAAGAAAGACCTCTGTTAGAGGAAAAAAAAAATGAATTAATAGTTGAAAGTGCTAATAATAAAAAATTACTGCAAGAAATCGAAGACAAGATATTATACATTCTATCGTCGTCCGAAGGAAATATTTTGGAGGACGAATCGGCAATACAAGTTTTATCTTCGTCAAAAGTATTGAAAATTACTTAATTCGCAAGAAATGTAAATCACTTAAACATAACTGTTTCTACAGACACTATCAGTTGAAATTCAATTGAAGGAAGAAATATCTATTATAACTGAAAAAGAAATTGATGTAGCTCGTAACGTTTATATTCCTGTGTCTAAACACTCTTCAGTTTTATTTTTCTGTATCACTGATTTAAATAATATCGATCCAATGTACCAATATTCATTATCATGGTTTATAAACCTATATTATCAGGTAAGTAACTGTTCTTTAATTAATACAGGGTTACAAGGCATTCTACAAATAATGAACTGATTTTGAATATTCATAAAATATGTATAAAAAAACGAATATAGCGCATGTTACAGGATTCACAAATAGGTGGAGATTCAATTGAACCTTAGGGGTAGGGGGTCTGAAATTTTCTTTCACAAAATAAGTTTATACAAAAATAAATGTTTATTATTTTAATTTTGGAGGCGCTTTGAATATTTTTTAGGTGCTTCAAAAGCAACTTTCCTCCCCAGTCACCACCTAGATCCCCTCACCACCCCAACACGAACAATATAGAGAAGGTATTCACACTCTTTCTCAACTTACTCTATGATGTGACATAAGGTCTGCAGCTGTTAAGTCGCCATGATGTAATAAAAACAAAGATATAACTGAAAAAGTCCATTAGAACTTTTCAGTAATTTCTAAAGCTATATTTGTTGTCAATTATATGAACGTCCGAGAAATACTTCTTCGCCTTTTCGATTTGAAAATATAAATGATCAAAGTCGTTCTTTGTGGAATGGCTGGTATTACAAGTAAATCACAATAACAAATAACTGATGATTGTTGCTATATTTGTGTGACAGTCGATTGTACAAAGTGAAAAATCTGATGATATTGATGAAAGAATAAAGAATTTGAATGATTATTTCACTTATAACATTTACCGAAACGTTTGTAGATCATTATTTGAAAAAGACAAACTAATTTTTTCATTTATTTTAACAGTTGGAATTTTTCGGTCCAAGGTAATTAATTTACAATTCTAGTATTCTATATAATAATTAAATGTTTAACAATACATCTTAATATCTTATGCGTATATTCATTAGTCATTACTATAGTAATATTGTCTGTTACAGGGTTTAATTGACGATGAATTATTTACATTGTTCCTTACCGAAGGAGTTGGGTTGAAAAATGAACACCCCAATCCAGCTTCTAAGTGGTTAAGTGATAAGTCATGGGCTGAAACTGTTCGAGCATCTCAATTACCAAGGTAAACACTGATAAATATATTTTATATTCAAATCATTAGTACTTAATAAGGCTTAGAAGTTATTAAGTGTAGTAAAAACTAGTAAAATTCATAGAGATATTGCTGTAAAAATGTACAAAATTGCGGTAATTTTTTTTCTATTATTATAAATAAATCAATTGTAACTGACTATTTTGTTTATTTTGTATTAATGACCAATGGGGGAAAAAAAAGTTATTGTAGTAAATCCGACAGGTGTTTTTTATTAGTTTAGTTTATTTAGTTTATTTTTTGGCCCGTTTAAAGCAATAATACGCGGTTAGCCTTTAATCGCGCAGACATATCTTTTTCGGATCATTATTAACTATAAAAAAAAATATTAAAAATACATGTACGTTCATACACTTGAATACGAGTAGGTAAATGAAATTTTTATGTTTATCAACTTGTAATAAATGTTTTGGGGTACTAAATAAAATGTTGACATAAAAGGGGTTTTAATGCATTTTAATCCGAAAAAAATGTGATTTTTTTAATTGAAGCCTTAAGTGACTAAAACTGACTTCATCGATTTTGACTGTGCATTAAGATGGACGTATCACGTTTTTAGATGATATATTTAATATTTATTGTTTGTATTAAAATTAAAATAATCTTATTGCATTAAATATACATTGTAGTTTAAATCAATTCTATAAATCAATTATCGATTCAAATGATGAGTGGAACTTATGGTATGATTCAAATAATCCACAAGACATACCTATTCCAGAACCTTTTCAAAATATCGATGGCCTTGAAAAACTTGTGATTATAAAATGTATTCGTTTTGATAAAGTAGTTCCAGCTATTCAGGTATGTATTTAATTTTATTTATTGATGAGTTTCCCAATAATTATTTAACTAACATCTTCGAAATATTTAGGAATACGTTGTAAGTAGTATGGGTCAGAAATATGTAGAACCTCCATCGTTCGACTTAGCGGATTCGTTCAAAGATTCAAACTGTTGTAGTCCATTAATTTTTATATTATCAGCGGGAACGGATCCAATGTCTAGTTTGATAAAATTTTCGGAGGACAAAAAAATTAGCCAAAATGATTTATTAACCATATCACTTGGTCAAGGACAAGTAACATAAATACTAATGTTTAAATTGCTTATATCATTAATGTTATAATAATTAGCATATAACTCATTTATAGGGTCCAATAGCTGCAAACATGATAAAATTGGGCTTAGAAACTGGCAAATGGGTTGTGTTACAAAATTGTCATTTAGCTGTAAGCTGGATGAAAGAACTTGATCGCATTTGTAATGACGAAATTGTACCCAGTCGTACACATCTATCTTTCCGTCTTTGGCTCACAAGTTATCCATCTGAGGATTTCCCTGTTTCTATATTACAGAATGGTAAATTAAACATAAATGATTTAAGATAGTTAAAATGTATAGTTATTTATTTAATTCAAAACTAGGAATTAAAATGATAAACGAAGCTCCGAAAGGTCTTGGTGCAAATTTATTCCGCTCGTATACAACTAACCCCATTAATGATCCAGAATTCTACCTCAGTTGTAAGAACCGTTCAGGTTTGAAAACGTTATTATTTTCACTGTGTTTTTTCCAAGGAATTATTCAAGAACGTCGAAAGTTTGGACCACTTGGTTGGAATATACCATATGAATTTAACGACTCAGATTTGCAAATCAGCGTGATGCAGTTAAATGTATTAATAAAATGATTTAACTTAAATATATACATAATACATTACTAAGTAATAATTTAAAAAATTATACTTAGATGTTTTTAAACGATTATGATGAAATTCCATTCAAAGCATTACTTTATTTAATTGGTGAATGTAATTATGGTGGTCGAGTGACTGACGACAAAGATCGACGTTTATTGACATCTCTATTGTTAATTTTTTTCAACACAAATGTTATCAACAACAGTTCGTAAGTATAACTTATGTATAAATATAATGCATTTATTTTTATTTTGTATAAGCTTTGGATTGTACTTTAAATGTTTTATTTATTAAATGTGACAAGAATCGATCGAAGCGCTCAAAATATATATGTTACGGGAAAAAGTCGAAATCGAGCAAACCTCAGAAATGCTCGGGCAAAATGCGAATTGCCCACAATCCTTGGTCAAAATGTCATATTTCAGCTTTTGACAGGGAAAACCTAGTTATAACCAACTTCATTTGGGAAAACCCTATCGTTAGAACAAAACCGTAATGTCTTAAATACGTTCGCTAATATTAAATAAAAATAGTGATTTTTATCGTACGATTGTATTATGGTTATAAATGACAACACGAATCTTGTTAATTTATCGAAAATCAATTTCCACTTCTAACAGTCGAAACGATAGTGAAAATTCCAGTGCCTTGTGTTGATATAGGAAAAGTCGATGCAAATAATGTGTTAGGTGTTATATTAAGTAATACTGACAATAGATTCTATAAAATAGAAACCAAAAATAAAATTTTGTCATCACTATATGCCAGAAAACAAATATTTTAGTGCAAGGAACAATTATTATTACTAGCGATGATGTACCGAATATCGAAATACTATTGAGGGCTGCTAGTATTCAAAATTCTTTAACTGGAGGGCAAGGATTTTTTTTTTTTATTCTTGCAAAACTAAGTGCATTACGAGAAGATGCAAAAGTAAACAACAAAATATTTTGTGTAGTTCTAAATGCCATGCGTCTAATATGTGTAAGCAACAAATAAACAAAAATATTATTATTTATGTGTATTCAATTACATTTGTACAATAATATTTATTTTATAATTATCTGTATTTGATATTAGCGAACGACTTTAATACGGTTTACAACAAAAGTCAGTACACGGTTTTGCCCAAATGAGGTTGGTCATAACTAGGTTTGACCGGTCAAACATCGAATTATGAAATTTTGCCCAAGGATTGTGAGCAGTTCGCGTTTTCCTCGGGAATTTCTGAGGTTTACCCGATTTCGACTTTTGCCCGTAACATATACATCGTGTATAATATAGGATAGTAGCGTACTTACAATAGTAAAATTCTAAAAATTCTATACCTAATTAATATTATTTTGGTATAATAAAATGAACAGAAATGCATTTCGATATACGTATGATTAATGTGATTGAAAGTCTATGATTACGCTTAAAAATGTGATATTTTCAGTAAATTCATAAAAAAAATTTAATTTTTTAAAAAATTAAAATCAATTTTTATTTTTTAGATGGATAAAATTTTACACGCCTTAACTATCAATAAAACATGTATATTTATGTTTTGGGTACTTACTTTAATATATTATTGTTTTTTAACTGGTTGTCCAGTCGGTTTTTGGTTTTATTCATCTTATCCCCATAAACATTTTTATTTTTCAATTTGACCATTACAATCTAGGGTTATTATTAATTGGTTTAAATTATTTTTTTCTTAATTCCAAAACTATATCGAATTACCGTGTAATAGATACACGTTTTCTGAGAGTGGACTGTATTACATACCCAAAGACATCTCCCTAAGTGGATGCTTAGATTACATTAAATCTTTACCCATGAATCCGCAACCGGAGGTATTCGGACTGCATGAGAATGCTGACATAACAAAAAATAATTATGAAACTCAAATGGTAAGTATATTTTTTTTAAAGTAATATATTAATTGTTTATATTTGTAATCAGAATACTTGTTTAGCTGTTGAATGGAACCATTTTAACACAATCTCAAATCGCAGCCGGAGGTAGTGATAAAGATGCAGATGCAAAAACCGTAGAGCTAGCTAGTAATATTGCGAAAAACATTCCAGATTTATTTGACATAATCGAAGCAACAAAAAAATATCCAACAATGTATGAACAGTCGATGAATACAGTAATAAGACAGGTACGGATTATTGTTTAAAAGAAAAAAATATTCATTCGGTATAATATTATAATGATTATACCGTTTATGCTGTTAACCGCACCTGGTACATAACATTCTATTTTCTACGTAGGAATTGATACGTTTCAATAGATTATTGTCAGTTATAAAAAAATCCTTAGTGGATGTACAAAAAGCTATTAAAGGTATTGTTGTCATGTCATCTGATTTGGAAGAATTAAATACAAGTCTAGTCGTTGGACGAGTACCGGCTAACTGGATGAATTATTCGTACCCCTCATTGAAGCCATTAGGTGGTTATGTTGCAGATTTATTACAGAGGTAAATTATTGGTTAAATGTATTTGTTATATAGTCTTAAACAATACAGTTAGTACAATGCATAATAATATTATAATAATAAAAATAATCACGTCGATTATCTAGACTAAAATTCCTACAAGACTGGCTGGATAATGGCATGCCAGAAGTGTTTTGGCTTTCTGGTTTTTATTTTACACAGTCTTTCTTGTCGGGTGTGCTTCAGAATTTTTCGCGCAAAAACAAAATACCTATTGATAAGCTTGGATTTGAGTTTGAAATAACAATATATGAACAGGAAATGGAATTGAAGGACATGCCGGAACAGGGTGTCTATTGCCGGGTAAGAATAACTCATCAACATGTTATTACTTCAATAGTTTGATTGATGATGATCATACCTTTTTTTTATTCATAATTAGGAGATTAAATATTTGTAGATCGCGCACTATATATTTTTAATCTTTACGTATTTATGTATAATTAGGGGTTGAACAGAATTTATAATACTTACACATATTTTATTACAAAATGTATACTTTATAATTATATGCACTATATGTCTATATGCAGGTGATGCAATTTAATTCATGATGTGTATTTTATTATTTTAGATTAATTTAAATACTTTTTATGGATGTTATGCCAATTTGTGATTCAAACATTTTTTTTTACGGAAATTGAGTTGTTAATTATGTTATGATTCAGTTATATTTTTTCTTTGACTATTCATATTATTTCAGCCTACGTAAGAATAATAGTTAATATTATATACATATTGAGTAGAGTGCGTGCAATGCACTATTCAAGTCTCACAATAAGACATGGTTGAGAAACATATATAATATAATAATTTGTATAATTTATATAATATTATATGTGTAGAGCAAACCACTGATAAATAATAATACAAACGTACCTTTTAGACTTAAAAGTTTGCAATTCGTCTGTAATTGAATAACGTCACCAATGATAATAACATTTAATTTGTACTTATTTTTACAGGGCTTATTTTTAGAAGGGGCTAGATGGGATCGAGAATTACAAATATTAAATGAGTCCTATCCAAAAATTCTTTTCGACACGGTTCCAATTATTTAATTTAAACCAGGAATTAAAGTACAGTACCTATATAGCATAAATAAAAAATGATTAAAATAACTGTATGCATATTGCATACATTGTCATTACATTTGTTTAGTCCGAGTTTGAGAAGAAAATGTATTACGACGCTCCCATCTACAAGACAAGTGCTCGTCGAGGTGTTCTATCCACCACAGGTCATTCGACTAATTTTGTGATGTTCATAAACTTTTTAACTGATCGACATAAAGATCATTGGATCAATCGAGGCGCCGCTTGCTTGTGTCAGTTAGACAATTAAATAAAAACAGTTTTATTCGTTTCCATAAAAAATTAATGGGTTCGCTATACATATATAATATAGATACTATAAACAAGAATGTAATAAAAAAATATATAATATAAGGCATCAAGTATGTTCATGAGTCTTTTTTCTTTAATAACTTAGTTGTTCAAAATCTGTTTTTTGACATTTTTGAGTTTAGTTAATGGCCATATTTTTAAATGAACTTGAGATATTCTCTACCATTTAAGGAATATTTTTTGGTGATACAACTTTCCGTTTTCAGACGAAAATCATCATTTTTTACGGTAAATAATTCATTAGATTATTTTTTGGAAAATTTAATCATGTACCTATAAACAGTATAAACGAACAAGTTGTTTCCGATTAATTTAACTATATATGCCTACTATGATAATATCCTGCTAAACTCAGAACATAAAAAATAGATGCCCTCATTAGTAGTAGGCCAAAATAAAAAATCAATCTCCAATATTTACCTATTACCTTCAGTATTCGGAATTAATGATGCGTCCATCAAAAAAATCACTCACTTAACTTGCATTTCAGTTTACTATTAATTAAAACGAACAATTAGTATTTATTACAAGACGGACGTTATTTAATAATTGACCAGCTGGCAGCTAGGTATATCCCAGCGATTCTCAAATTAGGGATGTCAACACATTTTTTAACCCAATATTTTTAAGGTAGCCATACACTTTTTAATGCCATCATAATAAAAGAGCGGTCAAAAATCTTGATCACATTATAATGTCGGGTCTCGGGATAATCTTTAATTAGTATCGGCAGGGTAGATAATAAGTTATCTAACTAAATACCTAATGTTTTATAAGCACTAAGCACTGAGATGGTTTTTGTTCCATAGTTCTAAGATTTTAATTTTTAATTTTTGAAGTTGGCTAAAAGAAATTAAATAACCAAGTGTAAGAAATATTTTTATTTTATTTTATTTTAAATTATTAATTCGTAGTATTAATATCAAATATCTGCTCGAAGTCGTTAGTACATATTTTTGCATATTTTTGGTTTAAAAGACATGTATTTGATTATAAGAACATATTTTAAGTGCAGTCGCCGTCGGAATCGAAGAAAACGTTATTTATATTTTTCGATGAAATGTATAAATTATTGTTCATTTTACGACATCTGTGCGCTTCCGCAAACCACATGCGATTTACATGTGAAATAAAAAAATACGCTTGCGTTATAATCACCTTCGATGATATTATACGACGATATAATATATAATGACTCGCGAATATTTTCAAAACTACGATAAAAACTGCAATAACATGTAATAATTATTCGAACACCGCGGTGCGTGTACTTATGACACATTATACTCATAACTATGTACACATGCGCAGTTATTCATCGTGGCCCGCGGTGTACGCTTTAATTAAGATCGTAAGTAATATAATAATAACATAATATATTATGAAGAATCGATAGACGGCATTAAATAGGGACCGACACCGACTCGTGGGCTTAGTAACGAAGTGATACGTCCGCGATCGGTTATATATTATTAAAATAGGCTTTATTTTTCGATCTACATTATAGATTAGTATATATTCGACCCAACTGCAAAATTATATTATAATACTGTCTCGTCCAGGACGGTTCCGTTTGTGACAAAAAAAATCCTCGATTTCAAAAATATCTTTTCAGGCAGTCGAAATGAAAACTGTAAGCTATCCGCCGTCCAATCGGTTTTTCGGGCCGTTGTCGAATTTTTGGCCTAATATTTTGTTCGTCGGTTTTCTTCTGTCGCCGACCACCACATCGCAGACCGCAGACAGCACTACTGAAACGTCGTCATACCCCTGGAAAATTTTCGAAAAAGTCAATATGTCCACCGTAAGTATTTTTCAACATCGGTCTACCTATTTTCGTTTTAAGTTAATATAGATGGAACAATTGCAATAAGACCTCATTAAAATATTCCATTTGGAGCTGGAATGTTCAGGACGTAATAATAAGGCATAACCGAATATACAGATATCTGACGCTTTTGAAATTTGGGACCAAAGCATTTGAATCCATAATAATAAAATGAGGAAATAAGGAGAAAGCCCCAATAATCAAAAGATTTATGAATTTAATAATACAAATATGTATACCAGTGTAAAATATAGGAATTAAACTACGTAACTATGTGTTTCATTGTATTCACTGAATTGTACGTATTATGTTTTCTACAATCGGGGGAAACCAATCATACACAATTTTTATTTTTATTGATCCTGTATTAACCAATGCTGTAGCCCAATAAACGAATTTTATTTTGTGTTAGTATAAGAAAATCATACATCCAAATCGGGACCAACCTGTCTGTTTAAGTCCAATTATTGGCGAACTTAGTCATTTAACCGCGTCAATCGAATGCGACAAGTACCTACAGCGAGTACTGCATAAGTTTACCGATCATCGTTTTATCGATAGCGATATCTATATAATATAATGTGACCTGTAATGTCGTTAATATATTGTAAAATGTAAATAATTAATAATTTCAGTGTGTTTAAAATTGTAATTTTAAACATCCATAAAAAAAATATAAATAACGATTTCATAGATTTTTATTTTTAACTATATAGTTAGCTCATGTACTTATAACAGCCAACAGGTATAGTGTATATACATAAACATGATAGATTAACCTTGAATTATTAATAATTCAAGTCTACGATTCTGTAATTATTACATACATCATTTAGAGAAAAATATTTAAAAACTATTTATTGTGTGCCACTAAATGTTTTAACCATTCTCATTTAAATCGGAATCTGAAAGTCAGAACTTGTAATTTGTAGAAATATAATTAATAGGTATTTGTCTTTTCAGGTGACACTGCTGAGAGTTCTCTTATTTCAATCGTCAATCTTATGAGTTAAGAATTAGCCATCAAATTCCCTTATTAAACCATATTTAGTAACATATTTTTCTTTCATACAAAAATAAAAAATCTATAATATATCGATTTTGATGTGCCCAAAATGTCCGAAACCCTATATATTTATACCTATTTATGTAAATAGTTAATCTCTGATCAGATTCGCTTATCAAATGTGATGATTTTTAGTACAAATTTTTTTTATGTACATTTATCATTGAAATGGCCAACTGTCAATGATAAGATCTAACGATTATAAGGTAGTATTTTTGTCCACGACCGTTGTATACATTTCAGTTTATGTTCTTCGAATATTCCAGAAAATATTTCTTATTTAAATTCAATACTCACAAACGAACACTATAGCATATTATATATTTGTAAATTCGTGATAATATATACCAGGTGTTTTTGAACGAACAAATATAAAATTATTTTATGAATGTTTTATTTCGATTGCTGTAGACAAGTATATAATGTATTTTCAGCGTAATTGATGTAGGTGCACATATAGTACATCATAAATTATATTTTCAAAATTGACACGCATGTGTCAAGAAGAGAAACAAATATGCCAACGAGTAAATCGATATTTATGTTACGATTAATTAATTGACATTTTGCGAACTTCATAATAAAGGTACACCGTTAGCTGCCGATCGTAATAACATTTTTTTCCATAGTACTTCTCTGAGCTGGTTGAATTATTTATGGTACTTACCTATACACTTTTGTAGCGTTCAACAAAGGCAGTCTGTATTTTCTTTCGTTTACGTTTCAATATCCTGTGCAGTACTTACGACGGTTTTGTTCCAAGGCGCCTATGTATTTAATTGATTATTTATATTAATTAAATTATACTTAATAAATTCTATAGGTATTATTATATAATATATTATATAAACGTAAATCTAATTTTTTCTACGTATTTCCGAGATATACAATATTGCAAACACAAACATAATAATATTTATTTGTATAGAAACGTTTGTCAAAACTCAAGATATTATTTCTGAAATGAATTGTGATTAAATTTAATAATTATGATTAATGATCACTGAGACTGAAAATAATAACAATTATAACATATTATGGTTGTAACTATATTACCTACGCTTAAATCATATAAATATATAATCCTTACATATTTCGGTTTGTTAAAATATTTTTTGTACCGTATAGGTGGACATCATCAAGAAAAATGGATACGCCGCCGAGATCCACCACGTCATAACGGAGGACGGTTACATCCTTGAATTGCACCGCATCCCCAGCAGCATCAGCGGACAGAAGCCCACAAGAAATCATCCTGTCTTCTTCCATCACGCGTTTCTCTCAAATTCGGCAGGATGGGTGCTCGGCGGAGCCAACACGTCTCTGTGTGAGTGATTAAAATACCACTACTGTGGTAGCACCGCAGAGGTAACATAATTTTACCGCCAACCACGTATGTGTTCACACGCTAATACTGTCATTTTATAGCTTTGATGTAGGCAGGTACAGGGAATTTAATTCAGTGGAAGATGCTTATAAATCGTATTAATCAATATTTTAAATTACAAATTCAAAGTCATAAAACATATCCTTTTTTTATTTATTTAATATACTTTACATTTATCGGTTGTTAAGTGTTGATAAGATATTATGCATGTATGGTATGTGATGAGGGAATAAAAAATATGACTGGAAAACCCCAGAAAAATAATAGAAGAAGGCAAACATTTTCAACACTTTGCCATATGTGACAATGTATGTTTATTAAACCATTATTGTAAGATATCACATCAGTACGAAACAATTTACACTTGAGGTATCTATAGGACGATTACGAGTTAGAAATTCGATGAAGAGGATACGTATTGAGTCACTGAATTAATGGAATGACGATTTCGAAATACTAGCCATCCCGCCAGATGTGGTACATACCGAAGATTTATTTTAAATATATTTGTAAAAAGACATACTTGCAATATGTCTACTACTTATAATAGCAATATAATATGAAACCAATAAATAAACA